GCGCTATTTTTTGAGAGGGTTTGCAGGCGGAGTCGAAAGGGAATACTACGAGCGTGTCACGGAGATAAAAAAGCGCCACGGAGCCGCAAGAGCAGATGAGATGCAAGTTCTTTTGAAAAGAAGCGCCGCTTTGCTACAACCTTTTTTTGCTGCGGGCGCGCATGCCGGGATGCACGTGAGTCCATGCGTCGAAGGTTTACCTTTTGCTGACTGAAAGTACGCTAGCCTTTGAAATGCAATGAGGGGGCACGGGGGGGCGGGGCGGACCACTAAATGGCGCAGCATGGCTGGAGGTGCCAAGCTTCGCCCTCAACCCTACACCTTAAACCTTATAAGCCACGGAAGTCACGAATTCTTTCGTAGTGCCAAAACAAACATACCACTGTGTCACGAAGTTTACGTGCCCCCTTCCTCATCCTCTTCGTGAGATCTTATTTCGCATCTCAACTTTCGGGTCTAAACTGTTTGGGGTCTTCGCAGGTGTAATTCTTGAACGCACGGAGAAAGTGAGTTTTGTTCACCTGAGATCCTTGTTTGGCCAAATCAAAAAACCAATCTGTTTGGCCTCTTTGTTGGTGCAATGTGAGCGGTAATCATGAGGAATATATTCCAAGCGGGTGATGGGTGGGTGCCCCTTATTGTCGTTTTCGTGTCTTGAGCCGCCCGCCCAGACTTTTGCAGGACTTTCCAATCTCAGACCAATGTGGAATGACACCTCGATCGAGGAGTACGCAGAAAATTGCATCTAACAACGTAGCGCCCCCACGCTAAGAAACGTACTACAGCCCTAAACCTGAAGCCTGCATCAGCAGCCCCAGGCCCCAAACCCAAAGCTCTTAATGCGAAACTGTGGATGCTCCATGCACCTGTTGCGCCTGGTGCTGCCAGCGAGTATCCTCGTGGGGAGCCTGCCGGGAGTGCGTGGCCAGTTGGCATGGCAATGGACGGCTGTCCGTGCCACAAGTTCTCTTGAACGGGGGTACGGCGTGCAGGCCTGGAACCCTAAACCAATGCTTTTGCCATGATCAGTATTCTGCGCAGCTAGTATTACCATTGCTGCTGCTGCTACTACTACTACTACTACTACTACTGCTACTACTACTACTACTACTACTACTACTACTACTACCACTACTGCTGCTGCTACTACTACTACTACTACTACTACTACTACTACTACTACTACTACTACCACGACCACTACGACTCGAAAACAACGTTTTCGCAGGATTCGGCTAGCGGGATTTTCGACGTGAAACTTCGAAGTTCCGTGTTGAAGGTTTGGGGAGTACAGGCCAGGTTGGGGAGCATCAGCAAGCACAACAGAGGAGAGGAAGGTTTAGTTTACTCGAGAAAACCGAGCTTTTTTTGTGCTCGGTACTCCTTGCTCTGTGCCAGCGAGACGAAAAATTGCCGTGCCTCTAGCCTCAACACCCCGTGGAAACCCCAAAAAATGAAATTTGGGCCCCAATTCAAAATGTAGGAAAAGAGACATGTTCACACAAATGAAACAACCACTCCTGAAGTGGAAAACTAAAAAAAGCTCGGTTTTCTGAAGTAAATTAGACCTTCCTCTCCTCTGCTGTGCTTGCTGATGCTCCCCAACCTGGCCTGTACTCCCCAAACCTTCAACACGGAACTTCGAAGCTTCATGTCGAAAATCCCCCTTGCCGAAACCTGCGAAAACGTGTTTTTTTGATTAAAACACGCATCTCCCCAAAAAAAGCGCGGGCAAACGTCCGTCTCCTGCTCTAGTACTCAAGTACTAGTACTAGTACTAGTAGTACTAGTACTAGTACTACTACTACTACTACTACTACTACTACTACTACTACTACTACTAGTAGGAGAAGGTCCAGTGGACCCGGGGGAAACGTCCAAAGCAGGCTACTTGGGTTCCTTGGCCTAGCGCAGTCACTCGGTCTGCCGATTGTTTCCTTGCTTCTCGCGCAAGTCCCGGATCACAGTGGCGATCCCAATTGGATCGTACTCAAGAGCTCGCAACCTGCTGCGCAGCTGCAGTACGTTAACAGGCACTATGGCGGGTTTGTTGCCTTCGGCTAATAGCTCGGCTAAGCAAACTGCTTTGAGCTACGACCTTGAGAAGAGTTTGAGTGTCCACAGCTGCAGTCGAGATGACGTGGAGCTGTACAAAGCAAGAGCAAACGACATGCAATTGCTACGTCACTGCATCACATGCTGCAATGATGCTTGCTGCAAAATGCAACCTACACACAACGCACGGAGCGAGGGGACATGTCTCTATCACACAAACACAGGCGCTTCCAGCAGCCTCGGATTTTAAAAGAAATGGATCCCCGATTCCGTGCAAACGGCGAAATCTGGACAGGCTAACCTACGGGCTACCACCTGCTCATAATTCGCGCTCAGATTAAGTCCAGGATGGACGGTCTTGGCCTCTCGGCGGCCCTTTCTCGCGATGCCTACGCCTGGGTTCAAAGTCCAACTTCGCGGGGATGGAACGATCCCACAAGTCAGAGAACCAAGCCTTGTAGGTCTCTACGCGAGGATCTCCCTCGGCTTCTGAGGTCTCGTAGCGCATGACCATTTCAAAATTATACCTGCTCGCGCGGGGATAATTGTGCGACCCGGCATACACACACGTGGTCGGGCCACGGTCCACTAAGAGCGTTTTTGCGTGTAACGCTCCAGACCAACCGGTCTGTCGCGGGTAGATGAGCGACAAGGGCTTCCTCGAAATGACGTGGACCTCTACACCGGGCTCCCTCAAGCTCTGCAAACGTGGCAGCAAGAGAACTTTGGCACCAGCTTCGGCCGCGGCGCATAGCGCCGGTGTGATCTGGTCCCAATCGTGCGTGTGTGCCGTGGCCATAATGACAACTGGGCCTCCATCTCCCGCTGACGGCGAGATGCCAACAACAGCTTTGTCAACCCAATCACTTTCTGGGAGAAGCGTGACAGACGCAACGCTGGCGTCATACCCCGTCGTAGGCGCTTTGTTGTGAGATGCCTGACGAAGCGAGTGCTGCGCTCTGAGCTGAGTCTGGAGGCCAGCTGTCCTCGTCTCAGATCTCTCTAGCTCCTTGCGTAGCTGTGCGTTCTCCTTTCTCAACAGTTTTAGCTCGAACAAAGTACCGCCTGATACTGCAGTGGCTGGGGAAGCAACACCGGAGGTTGACGCGGGGCTCGCCTCAGTGAGTGCGGGAGCACTGCGATCGCTCCTAGGCGGCAGGGAAAGAGATAGGCGTCGCGGGGTAGGTGCAGCTACAAGTGCAAGTGTTGGTGCCGGCACACGACCTCTCAAGGGTGCTTTCTCGGCATGGAAAAGAAGCATCTCACCCTTATCTTCCGAGGTTGCCGCCTTCCGGATTGGGAGGATCCCAACGCTGAGCGGCCTCCTCTTCGGCCTTGCGCTGCAAGTACTGGAGGCGTATGGGGCTGACGCCACGCCGACTTGCTCGGATCCAAAATGCAGGGCTGGTGTTCGGGCGCGGGGACCATCCGTGGTCCAATGGCCCCAAGCATCATCATCCTCCTCGGGCTCTGGGCCCGGAGGTGGTCCACGACGCTAATATTGGGCCCATTCCTTGACAGTGTAGCCCTGGCTGTCCCAGCAATCCGCCATACCACTCCGCAGGCGACGCCTCAGCCATTGGGGCCGGTGGTGGGCCGTCTGGCGTAGCAGGGGCCGCTACAGGCGCTTGCCCTGCTGTCGAGACCATAGAACTTGGAGGATCACCAGCGGGTTCCGACTCTTCAAGTGCTCATAAACCCTGGGCTCATCACCGTCCAGGAGCAGTGGCTGCCATTACTGGCGTCATCCACGATGTATTCGGCGACGCTTGGCTCCTGGCTCGACGATTATCGCGGCTCCTGGCGTTCGGCCCTGTAGTCCCGCAAAGCCTCCTCGAGAGAGCCATCCGCAGCTGCATCACTGAGGGTCTGCGCTGCTGACAAGCGCATTCGCTCCCACTCAGCGGCTGCAGAAGAACTCGCAGGGGCCTCTGCGTCGGCAGCAGACGCAGTCAAAGCTGCCTCTGAAGGGTTGCAATGCCCTTGCTGCCCCCGCCCGTCCCACACCCCTTGCCCCCACCTCTCGCTGTCTTGGGCTCCAGTACACCCCCCACCCTTTGCCCCCGCTGCCGCTATCGCGGCCCTCTGCGTAGGGATGCCGACGGCTCCTCCTCCGCTTTGGCGCCGCCGCAGCAGCAGACCCCGAGGATCTGGCCCGCCGTCTCGAAGCGACGGCTTTGGGCTCCGCGCTGCTCAGGCGGTATTCACGAACGATGGCCTCCGCGCCGGAAGTGACGTTGAAACCCATATTGGCCACCACCTCAGCTGGATCCGCCGATGGGCACGATCTTATTACGGCCTCGCTTCTTGCGGCGACGGCGCCGCGAAGCCTTTGCCTTCGGAACCACACCCACGTCTGAAGTGTCCGAGACAAAGCAGGGTCTCGCATCGGCGCCTCCTCAGTCTCCACTGGGGTCTCCTCCATGGCTGAAGTTCCAGGTACAGGCGGGAGGGCATCCAATAGTACCTGCTGATGCCCAGTATCTCGTTGAGAGAATCGCGCAACTCTTGCAGGATGAGCTCTTCCAGGTTTGCAGGTACCTTGTCGAGTGGCGGCAGTGGGCCCGCAAATCCAGAGGATGAAGACGCCACCTCAGTGCTTGCCTCCGCCGCGGCCACTGGGGCCGGTCCTGCATGGACCTGCTCCTGCTCATGGCCAGCTGCTTCGGATGCTTGCGATGCAGCTCTATCCAAAATAGCGGATGCACGTGCGCTCAGCTCGGCCGCGGCATCGGCTAACTCTTCAGGGTTCATGGCGCAGCCCTTATCGCTGTGCCACTGCGCAACAATGCTACACTGGAGCCCGGGCATCGGGGGAGGAGGTTCTTGCTGCAATGCTTCACCTCCAGAGTCTTTCCCTAGGAGTGACGTGCTTCTTGCGTGACAGGCTGCAATCAGAGTGCAAACGTGCGGGCTGAATCTCGAAACAACACATGCACTGCTCGCTATACATACGTGCAAACACTGTCCTGGACAACGGAGCCCTGCATCGCGGCCGTAGAGCCGGTTATGCTCTTTGAAACAACCTCAGGCACAGCGGGCACAGTTTCAGGTTGTTCGGGCTCCGTGGAACGTCCACGGTCACTCACAGCCTTTAAGGCTCGGCTCAATTCATCCTCCGACACTTCACTCGGGAAATCCACTGTTCCAGTAGCTATTAGCAGATCGTCAATGAAGAGGAACCAAGTGCGAAACAGCTTGCGACGAAATGTCCTGAAGCCGAAACGAGAAAAGTCCTCGGGGCCATTGGTGGGTCCGAATCCAAGGGATCGGGGAAGGTGCTTTCCACTCAAGCTCACTACAGCCAACACCTTTTGCGCAAGCAGGGAGTTCTCAATTTGATTAAACCCTGAAACCAAATCACCAGTGGAATACCACCGCTTGCCCGCCGAGGCTCGTTTCACGGACGTTGAGTCCGGCATCACAAAGGTTGCTCTCACTGTGACCTGGTTCACTCGACGGTAGTCAATGACCATTCTAGCCTTCCTGTTTTGACCACTGTACACACGAAACGCAGGACTACCCCAGTTGCTTTCTCCCGATGCGTAATGACCACGACGATACGCTTTAGCGATTTCGTTCTCGAGCCATTCAGCGTGCTCGCCTCCTCGGATCAAGGGGGCCTGACTAATGGGCTCACCCTTGGTGATCATATCGTGGAGAAATCCACGGACCATCGTTTGTGGAGTGTCCTTGATCCACAACGCCTCGCACTTGTCGTAGATGACCTGACTGATCGCCTGGATCTCGACATCCCGCAAATCCGGGTGGTTCGTGCGATGGTCTTCGGCAACCTTCTCGCCCGGAGATGGGAGATTCATCCCATGACAACACTGTCGTGCGTACTCGTCATTGCGACGGACATTCCCGGGGGGACGCCCCTCCATGGGAACAAAACAGGACTCCGGCATGTGGACCTCGGAGAATTTGCCCTGCTGGGCGTAGCTCTGCCACTTGGCAGCGGCCTCTGCAGATGGCGCGTGGGTGGACGTCCACCGCGAGACATAAGGCACCTGTGTCTTCGCGGGCACCCAAAGCCGCAGCATCAGAAGCGGCTAACACACGATCCTGGTCAAGGACCGGCGCAATGTCATCTCCTTCACCATCAAGAGCTCCAACTGCCTCGGGGGTCCATCACCTCGGAAGGCACAACCAACGAAGATGCACCCAACAAGTAATTACCCTCCTCGACCGCACGCAGATCGGAGTACCTCAGGGCACCGTCGGCCCCTATCTGCACCTCACGGAAGAGGCTCCGGTATGACACCGTCTCGGGATTTACCCGGGCTGGGCTCCAACGGACTCGGGTGCTACCCCACACACCAGCATAGGGCTGCAGCACGACTGCAAGCTCTTTCTTAGAGGCATCGGGTCTGTGCAGCGCCAGGGCTTCAGCGATCATGGCACCAACTTGCCTTTAGGCCCAGACACGGGAGCAGGGCTCTGCCCACCCACAATCTGACCAACCGATCGTCGCTCAAGGTCGGTGTCGTCGACGAAAACACGAGCTGGAACTCGCGCCAACTCTGCCAAGGGGATGTTGGAAATCAGCGTCCCATCCTCGCCACGAAGCGTGGCGCGCTGCCCTTGAACTGCACGGAGTTCATATGGGCCCACGCTGCAAGGCTGGAACTTGCCACCAAGACGCATGGTGGGGTGCCTTTCTCCAATCACCCAATCATATAGTTCGGCTCGTTTCTCCTCAGTCATAGCCAAGTGGCGCGCAAAAGATGTCTCACCTCTTGAACACCTCCTGCGCCCACTCGTCCACTGGGAGACGGCAAGGAGCACGAAAAAGGGGGGGAGCTCTGCATGATCACGCAGCGACCAAGCGCGCTCCAAATCCCTGGGGACGAGGCCCGACTCAAGGATTGGAGTGCACATCATGACATAGTGGACAAGGGGTAAGACCCGAGACCACTCCCTGGTGCATGTCTTGTGAACATCGTCAAGCAGCAAGCTCACCAGCACGTTCGTAGTACGATGCACCGTTTCACCCATACCCACAGACATCGGCCTATGAGCCGGCGGAGTGCGTTCTTGAATACCCAGTAGCGCCGACATCTCCTCGAACAAGGCGTTGGAGAATCAGAACTCAGGGCCTAGGTCATGCCGCCACATAGCTGGGACAGTCAAGGAGCGCAGCGTACAAGTCAGCACACCCTGCATCGCATCCCCGTGCTTCAACGACCTAACAGGCTCGATGATTGGGACTCGAAGCAGCTTGCAGGTGTATGTACACGCGTACTTGTAGCCATCAACACTCTCAACATAAGGACCTACGAAGTCCACGTAGACATCCATCCACGGTCCCAGCGTGTGTTGTTCCAACTTGGGATCAGCAGGGAGAGGCATGCCAGAACGACGATGCGAGGCGCATCGGGGACAAGACTGGGTCCAGTACTCACAATCTGGGAGCATGCGGTCCCAGACAAAGCGCCGGCGAAGCTTATCAAAAGTCTTGGCGGCGTTGAGGTGCCCGGACAATGGTGAATCATGAAAACGAGAAAACGCCCACTGCCTCCACCCCCCCACCGAAGGAAGGACGGGCACTTCCGCCACAGACAAAGGAAGATGGATCCGACGGCAAAGAAGGCCATGGTCATTCAGAGAATGTTTCGCCGCGGCCGATCTCAGCCGGAGTTCATCTTTGGCTCCTATCTTCTCTGCTCGCTTCTCTCCAGCTTTGTACCTCAAGTAGTTCAGCAACTCCCAAGTTTCAGCATCACTCTCCTGATCCTGGAGCAATCTCTGAGCATTGCGATCACCTTCAAAGGGAGGCGGGACGATTTTGTCTCCTGGAGCATCGGCTTCAACTTCGGCCCAATTCTTCTTGATCACTCGTGCGCGCTCGGAACAATCACCTGCCCTGCTAAACAGTCCTTGCAGGAGAAAGGGGCGTTCGTACTCTAGAAGCCGCCTGAACTCAAGCTCCTTGGACGAACCCTTAAGCCTTTGACCCCAAGTGTCCTCTTCATCAAGATCACCTTCCACTTCTTCAGGATCGATCAAACGCTCCATGCTAAGCGTTGCTTCAGCAACGGACGGCTCTTCCGGCTTCAGCGTTTCCGCAGCGAGAGCATCGCAAGGCCCGTGCCTAAGCGCTCCACCAGAAGGCTCGTCGTCACTCACAACGGCTCCATTCTTTGCACATGTGAGATGGAGGGGACCTCCGCAAAGCCCACAGCGATGCAGAGGCTGTTAGTCGGAGCACACCAAGGCGCGCTCATCGTCCTGATGTGTTCTTTGCCTTTTGTGGTTGAGGTGGCTCTAAGGCAACGGGTGTCGACGGAGTCCGAGCTGATTGAAGCTCGCAACACCTGGGGCGCGATAGAAGGGTTCGTGTCCAGGCGCAGTACCTCGACTGCAACGTGTTGGGTCAGGCAGTGCCGGAAGCTTTTGCGCCGCAGCGCAAGTTGCGACCGAGTGTTTTGGTTGCGCCGGCATCGGCCCATAAGAAGACTATCGCGTTTTGGGATGGACTTACCGAGCATTTGCGCTTGAACCGAGTGCTCTCACTCGCGGAAGCCGTTCCCTTCAAGGAGGCCCTAGCCTCCGCTTACCCTAAGAGGCTTGAGGCCGAGGGGGTTGCGTTTTGCGTTGTATGTGGGAAGAAAGCGCAGGCTTTCGCCGGCATACCTCACGAATCATGGTCATAACTCCAGTGAGGATTTGCTTTCGGAGTCGTCTAACCGTCTCGGACATCTGTCTGGCTCGAGCATCAATCCAATAGCCCACATTGTCGTCATCTGCAAACGACGTGGCGCTGGGCACAACGGTTGACTCAACTCCAGCAGTGCGCAAACCCTCCTCAACCACATCACACTGCGTCTGCAAATCTGGCTCGGCCTGGTAGGCCGGGACATACAGCAACCCTGGGCGCTAAGACCCGGTCCTTCGGAGGTCTCGCGACTTCCGCGTGTGCTGCATCAGCAACAACTGCCTCGCCCCGAGCAACTTCCTCCTCGGACACCGCTTTGGGAGAAGGGTCCGGCTCCGGAAACTCAAGGAAATCATCGCAATCCGGGTCCTCGAGCCGCGCGTGGGCGGTGGCCAACTCGCGCGTTCGCTCCTCCAGCCTTTCCAACATCTTCTTCTCCTGCTCCTTGGGCACAGAGGTCGTGTCGAACAACCTGCTCAGCCCATCGGCCAAATGCATGCTTCGGCCTGAGAGGTTCCGAATCTCACTCCCGTCAGCAGTGAGCTCGGAGCAAGTCCGGAAACTGACAGGATCAGCCTGGTCAAGGGGCTTATCCTGCAGTCGCACGATGTTCGCATGGTCTGTGTACATCACCACGGGGATAGACCCAAACAGCGCGCGGAATTTCCGTCGGCGTCGCAGCTGCGCGTGCTGCTCTTGCCTGAACGGATGCCACAAGGTCTGCGCTGGCGTCAAGCTTTCCGCATGATAGGCCAACGGCATCCGCCGCGTGCTCATCGGGCACGGAAAGACGTGGCCTTCTTCATCAGCCTCTTCAGCCGCTCGACGCCCTCCAAGCCTCGAAGTGTGAGGGGAAAACCAGCATCACCCTCCCTGAGATACCTCCTCAGCGGATCCATGGCCACTGCGAATTTCGGGCCAATCTGATCCTGGCCATCGCAGTTCCCAAAAACTCCTGCAGCTGCTTCAGATTCTTGAGCTCTCCCCACTGTGCAAGGGTCTCGACCTTCGCTGGGGGAAACCCGATGCAAATGCACACATCGAACAACTCAACCAGCTCAGCTATATGCTCCAGAACACATGGCCGCGCTCCAGGATAGCTGGCCTCCACGATAGGCCTGGTAGTAGCTCTCCGTTGGCACCTCGTCATTCAAGATGCTGTCAACCTGCTCCTCATTCTCAATGAGATGATAATGGAACTCGGGGTTGCAATGCCCGGGAGAACTCCCACGCGTGAGGTCCACCAAGTGACCTTCCATGACCCGATTCGGTCCACTCTTCTGGCCTTGCAAATCGTACCCCACCTCTGCCAGCTGGAGCTCCGCCAATGCACTCGCCTTCCCCAAGTCCACGTGCAAGAACACGGTCAACGTGTCAGTCGGCTCGGTGTTAACTCCATGAACTCGAGGGGTACGTAGCAACGCTCCAACAACTGGCCCGTGACACCACAGAAAGTCAAGCGGACTCGGATGTTATCGACCTTCGGACCAAACCCATGAGGCGGACTCCTCATCAGGACAGACTCGGTCGCGGGGCTGAACACGCTCCACGCAGCAAGCCGCGGCTCCTCTTGCGCAAGCATGCTGAAACCAAGTCTCTTACCCACCGGTGGCACTGGTTCGCCCAACGTATGCACCGTGTAAGCCGCAATCGAAATGCGGGCCCCTTCTTAAAGGCCTCGTCCGACCATCAAACTTAAGCACCGTGTCCTTCGCGCTCACCTTGAAGCCCGGAAGACCCTCGGGATGCTCCTCGTCCTTCCACAAAGATGGTTCCGCTTTGTGCGGGCAATCCGTCGCCAAGGCAGAGGCGGACTCAATCCACACCTCGCCGCCTTTGTACTTGCCGCTGCAGTACAGGAAGTTGTGAGTGCCCTTGTGACGTTCTGCGACCCCGATGGACAGCAATACCCGCGCTAAAGGACACCTGAAGAGCATTCCAACCCTCGGCGCTCACACCCTGCTCCTCGCTCTGCTTCTTGAGGAATGCATTGAGGAACTTGACGGTACTCGGCCACAACCTCGTGAGATTGGTGACACCAACCATACCGCCATAACGATACGCACCGAAGATCATGCGCCGGCGCTCAGTGCCAAGGTTGCGCTTCTTGCGATAGTCCGGCCTGGCACACTGCGGCTCCGTCTCCCACGCAAGCTGCAACTCGTGGAGAAACGCGGCACACGACTTCACGGAAAAATCCTGCTCACGAAGCAAACGCTCGGCATACCTCTCGGCTGTATCCCTCGCCCTAGCTTGCGAGGTTGAGCCATACGCGTCGGGCAACAGCCCACTGGTTCCGTCTCCAAGCAAGGATTCTGCCTTGAGGACAGTGTCGACGATGCTCCGCACACTGCGTCTTCCTAGCCCGGTTTGTCTGGCCACCTCGTCCGCCGTTGGACGCTGCGTGAGTGGCATCCGCACCATCGTTTCCAGAACATCCAGTACTTCGCCAGGGCTCAGCTTCGTTCCACGAAATGCGGTGGAGCACATGGCATTCTCGTACCGGCCGCACTTCTTGCAGCAAGCAAAGACCTGCCCCACACGCCCTCTGGACTGAACTTTGCTGAGCACGAGCGCACCCTTCTTGCAGTGCTTGCACTGGCCAAGCTTGTCAGCACAGCCCAGTCGCAGCAGCTCACGCCAGGCACCTTCGCCTTCCGCAACCACCTGTCTCACACGCAGGACCTCTGCGCGGTTCTTGCGACGAGAAACGCGGCAGCCTGCAAGCTGCGTCAGCCCCACTGTACGCTTCGCGGGCTGCAACTCTGTAGGACTTGTCTTTTCTGTCCCTGGCACGCTGCTTCTTCTTCGGCAGCTGTCGACCGAAGCATCGACGTCCTCGAGCCTGCGCCAGCTGCTTCTTCAGCGACCGGACAACCTGTGCTGCCGCACTCTTGCAGGTTTCCACTCGGTGACCCCTCCCATTACAGGCGCTGCACCGGTGCACCTGGCGCCCTTGGTTGCGCCCTTCAACCAGTGGCCGCTTCATCGCCTGCCAGCACTCAAGTCCGCTCAGTGTCTTCCATGTCAAAAAAAAACAAGATAAGACAAACTCTGCCAATCACCTGCCATCAGCTGAAAACACTGTAAAACGCATCCATTTCCTCCCAGTCCTGCGCAACCAGAACACCGTCGCGTACGTAACCAGCGCGTACTACTACTACTACTACTACCACTACTACTACGACTACTACTACTCCTACTACTACTACTACTACTACTACTACTACTACGACTACTACTACTACTACTACTACTACTACTACTACTACTACTACTACTACTACTACTACTACTACTACTACGACCTACTACTACTACTACTACTACTACTACTACTACTACTACTACTACCTACTAACTACTAACTAGTAACTAGTAACTACTAACTACTAACTACTAACTACTAACTACTAACTATTAACTATTAACTACTAACTACTAACTACTAACTACTAACTACTAACTACTAACTACTAACAACCAACTACTAACTACTAACTACTAATTACTAACTACTAACTACTAACTACTAACTTTTTGCATTGCACTCACTGCCAGAATCAGCATGTGGACCTCTGATCACTTTGGATCCTCGGCACGTCGGCTACTCTGTATCCGCCTTGGGAGCTCCAGCAGTCTTTGCTAGTTCGTACTTCACGCCCCTCAGGGCTGCTGAAAGGATTGTTGTGCACAGCTATGTTCGAGTATGTGGAATGCATCCGCCCCTCAGGGCTGCGATAGCGCTGTGCTGGCTGGACACCCTACGACCGCCTCCTACTGGCTCACCTGCACCCGCGACTGCTGCAGTGCCGGCTGGCCCCGATGTTGTGTTGCAGGCTATAGCTGTGCGCTAGCTGAGTTTGGTGTGATTAAGGCGGGCAAGTGTGATATAGAAGGTCTCACCCGCCTTTTTTATTTCACAGTCCGGCCTTTTGGACTTCGAGAGGATCGCTTCCTCCAGATTGCCAGGTCTCACTACCTGCTATACTGAATCTGCTTTGGCAGAGTACTTAAGGATATTCAGGAGGAAACCTCCTAATCTGATGCAATGAATCAATGAAGAAATTGAAGTTGGCACGGCGGCAGCCTCCGATATCAAGTACTCAGCACTGCAAAAGAGTGAAAAATAAGCGCGGCTACCCCGACACCCTACTGTGAGTCACTGCGTCCAGCACCCACGCACCAGCTGTTTAGCGAGCCGTACCTCTGGTGAGGCCGACACTCAGCGTTCCTGTCTAGTGACGTCTCACACAGGTAACGCTAAACAACTGGCAGAGGGCCGTAGGCAGAGCGCACCAAGGCGGCTTTGCACGTTCCAAGAAGGATGCCCAAGTTGGAGGCAGGGTAGCTAAGTTTGCGAAGCCTGACCTGGGACGCCTTGCGCGGCTCCTGGGGCCAGCGCTGCGACAGGGCAAAATTGCATTCCTGGTCGAGAAAATGTGACCCCAACTGACCGAACTTAACGAGGAGGTCTCACATAGGCACGAGTACTTTGCGAAGAGGGAAGCACCTGACCTGGGACACCTTGCACGGCTCTCGGGGCCAGCGCTGCGACAAGGCAAGGTTGCATCCGAAAAAGTGACCCTAATCTGAACCCACCGACCTGGAGGAGACCTCACATGTTCTGAAGTGCGCGCAGGGCTCTTTCAGATGCTTCAGGTTCAGGGACAAGAATGGGTCAGCTTGGCCTTAAGCTACAGCAGGCAGAACGGTCTACTGTGAGAAACACTACCGGGGAGGAAGCCTCCGGAGGAAACCTCCGCATGTGAAAGTTTCACGCAAGAGACTATACATCTTAGCACGAGATCATGGCTTTATTGCGCGCAGGGCAGCGTTCATGCCGAGTTGCCTCAGGCAACAGCAGGCAGATAGGTCTACTTTAAGAAGAAAGAACACTGCTGCGGAGGAAGCCTCCGGAGGAAACCTCCGCATGCGAAGGTAGAGCGAGCTAGAACCTTACGTAGAAAGCCAAATACGATCCCTGGCAAATTTGATCCGAGAGGAGCGTAGTTCGCCGTGGTGAGCGGTCATCATCTGCGAGATACGCCACTTCTTATCTCAAAAAACCTGTCCTATAATGCCCAGATCTCCAATCATCTCCTAGATGAATGATGAATGCATATAGTCGAAAGCTGACCACAGCGGTTGTCGTGCCATTATCTATAAACTCTGGAAGCTCCAGAGTTGTGTCTAAAACTTGAGGCCGATTTGTTTTCTCCAAGTGCTCAAACCTTTGGATCTGAATGCAAACCAGGTTCACTCCCGGGAGTAGCCCATAGGTGCTCCCCCTGTGCGCCCACTGAGAAATGGCTTGCTGTAGTGTGGAGAGGCCATCTGGTGGGTCAGGCAAGAAAAGAATCAAACCCCCTCTATCCTCTACGCTGATTCTTTCCACGGGTGCTGTGATTTGAACCCTCGCTTCCCAAACATCTGCTGAAAGCACATGGGATCTCTGAATGATATGTGCTAGAAACTGGGATGCATCTTCTTGCCTGGGTCTGAATCGCCATCCCGTCAGCAGAGGACGTAGCTGTCGCAGCCTACGAACATCCACACTAGAAGAACGACCCCCTACTGCGTCAATTTCCGTCAATATTTGTCTCAGATATGGATCAGAAAGAATACCCTCTGATGCAAGCGAGGCAAGGATATGCACTACTGTGTGTGCATAGCACAGTTGATGCGGATTATGATAGGCCAGAGACCAGGCTGTGACGGGCACTGACGAAGGTCTCCCCTCTGCTGGTGCGTCTCGCTGGGAGCTTGCTGGTGCCTGGTGAGACCGAATCCTACTGGTGGAGGAAGCCTCCTGGGAGGAACCCTCCTGCGCACGAATCCCAAGTTCCGACATCACAGTGCCATATTCTATGTGTGGGTCGGTAGACTTTTTCATTGCTGCACTCATGGCATAGACCTGCAGCAGGACTACACACTGGTCCGCGTGGCGAACCGGAGCGTCAACCATCATTCCACAATATCTGCATTCCTCCTTTTTATGAAGCAGTCTCTTATGTGTGCGCATGTTGGCATAGACTGAGTCTGAGGCCCCTGCCCAGAAAGCCTGGTGCGCTTTCTGAATGTGCTGTTTGACGCCCTTGTGACCGACAATGAACTGCCCACAGAGGCTGCAGTAAGCCCGCAAGTGCTTGGTCACATGAGCCTTTTTGAGAAGCAGGTCAGGGTCTCTTTTCAATTGATCCTGAACACTTGGTTGGAGCAGCAAGGCTGTGCTCTCCGCTCCTGAGCAGGACGATGATCGCTCCCTCAGCTCTGGAAGCTTTGAACATGTTCCCGATTCAACATGTCTGCGAAGCTGATGCATTGTGCGCAGCTGTTTGTGACATGCTGCACATTGCGGGAGTCCCTGCAGACTATGTGCGAAGACTTGGAATTTAGGGCCCAACTGGTTTGCTCTTTGGCCTCCATGCTTCACTAGTGTATGATGCTGCAATCCCTTGTTGCTAGAGAAACTTCTATCACATAGCGAACAGGGCACTGCATGATCTTCTTCGGCCAGAGCCAATTGCATGGATTGAAGTAGCTGCTGTTGGCTAATCAGCTAATCAGCCGGCTGCGTAGACCCAGGTACTCTTGGATCGTTTGTAAGTTGCCTGTTGGCTTGGCAGCATCCATCGCATCCTGATAGTTCCTCATTTGCCTGAGAAGAACTTCCTGAGGAGTTTGGATCTTGTGGTGCTCAAACAGCTCTGTGGTTTCCATGCGACTAAAATGCTGATGCTGCTGAAAGATAGATCTGAGCATCCGAGAATATTTGCTCTGGAGCTTTTGCAGTCCCGTGTGGGTGATTCCCGTGGAGACTATGCCATGCAAGAGCGAAGACTCGACATACACTCGCCAGATCTCTAGTTTCTTCGCCTCGTCAAGGGCCTTCGTCGTGCACAAGATACTCCTAAGGAGCTCAAATTTGCCTTGGGCTTGAGAAATCCTGTAGTCTACTGTTTGATCCTTGTAAGCACCATAGCTTAGTTGCACTCCTAGATAGGTCAGCTGATGATGAATCGGAATCTGATGCCCCGAGGGAAGAACCAAATGGAGCTGATTTTTTAATCGTTTGGTGTATTGCTTGCGGAAGAGGGATTGCTGAGTGCCTTGCACCATGAGCAGTGCCTTGGATTTCGCTGGATTGACTTCAAGGCCGACTTCCTCGAGGGATTGAAACAAAGCTTCAAGCCGAGTGAGTACCTGCTGCAGTTCGGCAAAGCTTGTAAAAGTTTCCTGATGGAGAAAATCGTCAGCGAAGACAGTGAGTATATCTCTTGCCTGACTGCTGCCAGGCCCCCACTTCTTCTCCATCCTGTCCATGACTAGCAAGGTTAAGGCAGACCACAATGCAGGAGCTAATTTACATCCCTGTTTTATCCCCGAAGAAGTAGGAACACTGAACTCAAGCCCATTAGTGCCCATGTTGTACGATGTACAGGAGTGGAGTTGTACAACAAAGTCCTTAGTGGTTTGATCTATGTTGAGCTTGTCTAAGGCTTCAAGCAACTCTTGTCTGTTGACAGAGTCAAAGGCTTTGCTCAGATCGACGGAGACTGTTAAGGCCCCTGCCAATGGGAGCCTTCTCTGACCTTGCTGTGCCTTGTGCATATCCCGGCGATGCTCTTGGCGCATTTCCTGCACGAGATCCAGATGCTGACACGCTTTTGCAATGGCATCTCGCACCCCTCGCTTCCGAATATATGCAAACTGCGGCTCAAGCTGTGAGCGCTCTTGCAGTGCCGGTGCTATGCGAGTCTTGACAGCACCTGCAAGCACTTTGCCTGGAACACTTATTACTCCTATGGGCCTCAAGTTCTTCATAGCTGTAGCTGGCTTACCCGGCTTTGGAATCCATGCAATTCTGGGGTCCTTCAAGTACGGTGAGATTTCTGACTGAGAAACCTCTGTGTTTATCAGATCAGCGATCTTCACATGAGCCTCAGGCGCTACGCTCTTCCAGGCCGAGACCGGGGCCGACATGCTGGGAACCGCCTTGCCCACCGGAATTGTTTTTATTTGCTCGGCCACCTGCGAGGCATTGACAGCCTCTCGTGGTCTGGCTGCCACCGGATCCAGGGGAGATCCCTTGGAGAAGATGTGACTCGAATACTCTCGCATCGCACTTGCCGAGGCCTTCGCATCTAGGGGCTCACCTGCTGAATCCCTGAGATTGACCCTTTGAGCAGGTTTCCATGGGGCCAGCTTTCTAAGGGCTTGGGACAATTTGTGAGACTGCTGTCTCTTGTCCTCTTGGGCTTGAAGAAGGAGCCTCTCCTGCTTTTCAAGTTTTCTTTGCTTCTGCAACTTTTTGAAAGATTGGGCCTCTGTCTTTATGTCGCTGATTAGCTGTTGGCACTCAGGAGACTGCCCATTACCGGATCGCTTGTGCTCCTGAATTTGGCGCACCTTTTTCCAGTAAGCCTGCTGAATGGGCCCTGCAACTGGCTGAGCCTTGCGAGGCGGTGGAAATTGCTCAGCAGTGACTCGAACCATCGTCCTGTCGATCGATTGCCAAGAGTTCTGCTCAGCCACACTCTTGACTACTTCAGCTGTTAGGTGCTTGGAATAAGCCTGCCAGTCTTCATCTTTTCGTCTAAAGCTGGCATCAAGTGCAGTGGCATCAAAGGGCTTTGGTTTGCTTGGGGGAGGACTGTATGGAGGAACAAACAGTTTGGCTCTGACCGGGAAGTGCTTGGAGCCATCCCGGTACGCTGCAACTGGAAAATTCTTATCGGAGGAAGCCTCCTTCGACCGCCTCCGGGCATCCTGCAGTCGAACTAGCAGAAAATCAATTTGAGACTCATATGTGCCATCGCTGTTTGCATAAGTGCTTTTATGGCTGGAGGCCCATGTGTTGAGCGCTGTCAGCCCACAAGATCTGCACAGTTCTGGGAGCGATCGAACATCTGCATTGGCAAATCTGGCTCGGCGAGGCACACTGGGCCCAATGAAAGGACGCTCTGTGACTGCATGTGAGTTGAAATCACCGGCAACAAGCATAAAGTCTCTCAAAGGCACTCTGCGAAGGCGAGTCTCAAGTTGACTCAGCACATCCTTCCTCCGTCGTCTATTGTCCAACTTGGAGAGTTTGGAGTCCCAAACATGCTGATACAGATTGAGTAGATGGATCCTAGACCTCTGCCAAGGAATCATGACATGCTGCAGGTGCCCTGGAATTATGGTGGTGCTGCGAATCTCTGAGAGCTGGGCCACGGATCGATGCACAAGGACAATGAGGCCGGCTTTATGTCTACTCTCAGAGCCACAGGTGAGGACTGACCATGGACCTGAGCTGTAGGTTTGGTCCTGCTGCCAGTGGGATTCTTGCAGCAGCACAAGCTTGATGTTCTGATATTCTGGTGTTGCCAAAATGGCCAGAAGCTCATTCCAAACTCGACTCGTTATTGAACCTGCGTTCCAAGATAAAACCTCAATTTCAAATTTGTGGTGATACTGTCTGATCGGCTGAAAAGATTGCTTCTCTGGCTTCTCAGAGACTGCAAATTGGTCGTCATGGGCTCCTAGAGCCTGAGCGGTCAGAAGTCGGCCTTTGTAAAGTGCTGCTCCCTTCGCCAGGGCAACTTTACAAGCTCTTTGGTAGCTTCGCTTGCCGGTTTTGTTCATGGTTAGCTGACTTCGCTGCGCATGCTGCTCAGCTTCATCGGGGGGCGCTACTTCCCGAAACCCTCGATTCTGATCCATGGCTGGACCCTGGGACTTGGGACCCAGGCACCCAAGAAAGCTCGCTACGGCTACGAGAAATAAAGTCCTCATCTTGGGCCAGAATCTTCTAACTACTAACTACAACTACAACTACAACAACAACAACTACAACAACAACAACAACAACTACTACTACTACTACTACTACTACCACTACTACTACTACTAGTACTACTACTACTACTACTACTACTACTACTACTACTACTACTACTACTACTACTGCTACTGCTACTGCTACTGCTACTGCTACTGCTACTGCTACTGCTACTGCTACTGCTACTGCTACTGCTACTGCTACTGCTACTGCTACTGCTACTAGAAGAAGGTCCAGTGGACCCGGGGGAAACGTCCAAAGCAAGCTACTTGGGTTCCTTGGCTTAGCGCAGTCACTCGGTCTGCCGATTGTTTCCTTGCCTCGCTTGCAAGTCCCGGATCACAGTGCAACCGATCTCGATTGGATCGTACTCAAGAGCTCGCAAAACCTGCTGCGCAGCTGCAGTACGTTAACAGGCACTATGGCGGGTTCGTTGCCTTCGGCTAATAGCTCAGCTACACAAACTGCTTTGAGCTACGACCTTTGAGAGTTTGAGCACTCTCAAGTTTGAGTTTGAGTGTCCACAGCTGCAGTCGAGAAGACGTGGAGCTGTACAAAAGCAAAGGCAAACGACATGCAATTGCTACGTCACTGCATCACATGCTGCAATGATGCTTGCTGCAATGATGCTTGCTGCAAAATGCAACCTACACACAACGCACGAAGCGAGGGGACATGTCTCTATGGTACAAACACAGCCACTTCCAGCAGCCCCGGGTTTTTAAAAGACATGGATCCCCGATTCCGTGCAAACGGCGAAATCTGGACAGGCTAACCTGCTGGTCACTACCTGCTCATCATGCGCGCTCAGCTCAGCTCGAGGATCCACGATCTGGTCCCTTGGGCGGTCCTTTCTCGCGATGCCTATGCCTCGGCTCGAAATCCAACTTCGCAGGGATAGAACGATCCCACATGTCAGAAAACCAAGCCTTGTAGGTCTCTACGCGAGGATCTCCCTCGGCTTCAGCTGTCTCATAGCGCATGACCATTTCAAAATTGCACCTACTGGCTCGGGTGTAATTGGCGTAGATGCACGTGGTTGGCCCACGGTCCACCAAAAGTGTTTTTGCGTGGAGCGCGCCGGACCAGCCCGTCTGTCGGGGGTAGATGAGCGACAACGGCCTCCCCGATATAACGTGGACTTCCACGGCAGATTCCCTCAAGCTTTGCAGGCGTGGCAGCGAGTCATTACACGACCGGCTGTTTTTCTCATCCACCAGCAAGAGGACTTTAGCCCCGGCTTCCGCCGCGGCGCAAAGCGCCGGTGTCATCTGGTCACAGTCATACGTGTAAGCTGTAGCCATGATCACCTTTGGGCTCGTGTCTGCTGTCGGTGTAAGGTCCACAACAGCCTTGCTGAGCCATTCGCTGTCTGGGAGAAGCGTGACAGATGCGACACTAGCATCATACCCTGTCGTGGGGGCCTTATTGTGAGAGGCCTGACGGAGGGCGTGCTGCGCTCTGAGCTGCGTCTGAAGGCCTGAAGTCCTTGCCTCCGATCGCTCCAGCTCCTTGCGTAACTGGAGATTCTCCTTTCTCAACAGCTCAAGCTCAAACAGTGTACCGCCTGACACTGCGGTGGCTGGGGAGATGGCACAGGTGGAAACTGAGGGACTCGCGCCTTCGAGCGCGGGAGCATCTCGGCTGCTCCTGGGCGGCAAAGAAAGCGCAAGGCGACGTGGGGTAGTTGGGGCAATCGTCACAGCTGGCGCACGACTCCTTAAGGGTGCTTTCTCAACATGGAAAAGAAGCATTTCGCCCTTATCTTCGGAAGTCTCGTGAGAGAACCCACGGCCAGCAGACACTCGATGCACAATAGCACGCGCTGCGCTATTCAGCCCAATCGCCTCTCCTGCCTGACCACTGCCCTCGATACAATCCAGCACTGAACCAATCTTCCTCGTGATCTCTTGATTCTCTGGACTCGTAAGATCACCCAACCTTAAACCAGTGCGACAATACACGGAACCTGGTTCCGGTCGAAACACAACAGCACCTTCGGCTTCTACATTGGCCTCAGGCTCTTGGCCGCTGCGCCGAAGCATCTGCTTCGCGGAACAGAGTGTCCTGGCGTACAGGACGTATGCGCCTAGTGCCACTGTCGAAACTACTAGCACGCAGCATACTCGTGTTATCAACACGGTCCCCGCCCGAAACTCCCCGGCGACTGCAGTGACGGTTTCTTCCAGCTCCGGGCGAGCTACCGTCAACCAAAGGTCTGCCCCTTGGTGAAAGATCAGGCCGGCCGTTGCCAAGCCCAGGTAGCGGATCACTTCGGGTCCGTCTCCTGCTTGGTCCGCCTTCGTGGCACAGCCACGGCCTGATTGAGCCGCCTCACCTGCAGTTTGGGATCTAGGGCTCAGGGACACACTAGCCACACCACTAACCACACTAGCAAAGGAAGAAGAAGCATGGCTTAACCTATCTTGCTCATCAGGGAGCGTCCCGAGTTGGCGCCGCGCCAGGTCGCCAGGCCTTGGCAGCTGGGTATGGATTTTCATAGGTCTGGGGAGCCGGCTCCTCTGCTTCCTTGGGCGGGTCTTCTGAAAAATCCGGAAGCATCTCGGCGTCAGTAGGGAGGTCCGCAGCGTGGTTGTCCTCCCACGGACTCCAGTCCGGTACGAAACCCCCTCCGTCCTCGATCTCCGCCATATGGCCAGGGTCCGCCTCGTCCTCGACAATGACTTCCTCCTCGGACTCGGCCTCCTCCTCGCCAGTGTGCGCGGCGGCTTGCTGCGCGCGCTCCTCGCGCTCTCATCGCGCTCACGCAAATATTGGAGTCTTCGCTCGTGTTTACGAGCTCGTGCCCCTGCTCCTTGCCGATGGGGTTGTCTCCAGATCGATCGAGCGCCTTGGCTGGCGGCGATCGGAGCCGGGTCCGGAGGATGGGTGTCATCGGGCTCGCGCATACCATTGTGCCAAGCAGCCCACTGTGCCGCGGTGAACCCACTGGACACCCAGCAGTCTTGCTCCCGCCACACATTGAACCTCAGCGGATCGGCTGGTTCTGGCACAGGGGCAAGGATGTGACTCGGTGGTGGGCCCACCGGTTCCGACGGGCGCCATGGGTTGCTCCTGATATGGGAATAGATGCATGGCTCTGACCCATCGCGGTATGTCACCGCGGCATCTTCCCCCATTGTTTCGCCTGCCATGGCCTCGAGAGCAGCCTCGAAAGAGCCGTCTGCGGTGGCCGCACGCAGCGTTTCTGCCGCGGCTCTCGAACTCTCTCGCTCTCCTCCTCCAGGGCCTGGGGATCCACTTCTACGTCGGAGTGCAGAGGAACAAACTCAAGGTCGGGCACACTGGCCTCTTCCTCAGCGAGCTCCTCCTCCACCGCGAGGTCATCCTCGGCTTCCTCCAGAGCATCCACCTCAACTTCCTCCATCGCATCCGGGTCTGCCTCGCTAGCAAATCCAACGGCATTCTCTGGAGTGACCTCGTCGGGTTCCATGCTCTCGCCAGGAGGCTGCCGACTTCCCGCAGACCTTTCAGCATTTGCTTGGCGCTTCCTAGAAGCCTCTAGCTTCCATTGCCTAGACAATGCTTTAGCCTTCGGGGAGTTACGTGAAGAGTAGCAAGCATTTCATTCACTGTAATAGAGCGCCTCTCCCTCGCGCGCTTGGCGCGGTGGTCACGAACCACCTGAGCTGCGCCAGGCGAAGGGTTAAATCCCATACGTCGCACCACTTCATCTTCTTCTGCGAGGTCCGGATCCACCTCGGTGTCGGGCACCGGAGCCTCGTGGGTGGCGTACAGGTCATCGTGGGCGCTGTCCTCGGGCTCTTCAGCTGCTGTAATCTTGTTTCGCCGTTTCGTTTACGACGACGGCGTCTAGAAGATTTCGCGGCAGCGCCCGCGGTTGTAGGCAGCGATGTGTCACCTGCCGCATCTGAGGTGTCGGACAGGTTGGGATCGCGGGCCGGATCTGCCTCTGCAACTCCAGACAGGGCAGGACCGCTCACCGGCGCGGTCTCTGCAACCGGTGGTAGCACAGCAAGCAATTGCCTTTGTTGAGCTAAGATCTGGTCGATGCTCGCCTGCAATTCGGGTGAAAGATCAGGGAAGCGGGCACAAGCTCGTTGAGGCTCTCCTGTGACTCCTCTGGCACGGGTGGCAAGCCCATGGGATTAGGCAAAAGCTCGTCTGCGCCAGCGGACGGCTCCACGTTCGGCGGCACATCAACAGCTGCCGCGGCCCCAGGGGCCGGCTCAGATCCTGCTGCAGAGGAATCGCCGGATGCAGCCGCCCGGGCCAGTATGGCGGAAGCTCGCCTGGCCAAAGCGGCAGCGGCCTCTGCCAGCTCGCGTGGCTCCATCGTAGTACAGCTCGAACCGCTGCGCCACAGCTCTATGCTACACTGGAGCCAGGGCGTCGGGGAATGGGATTCCTGCTGTAAACCTTCGCCTACAAGGCCTTCCTCATCAGTGACATGTCGGGACAGGTCGTAACCAGAGCGCAAACATGTGGGCTGAAGCTCAAAACAACTCATGCACTGCTCACTACACTCTACATACGTGCAAACACTGTCCTGGACAACGGAGCCCGGCATCGCGGCCATAGAGCCGGTTTTGCTCTTTGTAACAACCTCAGGCACAGCGGGCGCAGTTTCAGGTTGTTCGGGCTCCGTGGAACGTCCACGGTCACTCACAGCCTTCAAGGCTCGGCTCAGCTCATCCTCCGACACTTCACTCGGGAAATCCCCGGTTCCAGTAGCTACTAGAACATCGTCAATGAAGAGGAACCAAGTGCGGAACAGCTTGCGACGGAATGTCCTAAAGCCGAAACGAGAAAAATCCTCCGGGCCAATGATTAAACCCTGAAACCCCATCACCGGTGGAATACCACCGCTTGCCCGCCGAGGCTCGTTTCACGGACGTTGAGTCCGGCATCACAAAGCTTGCTCTCACTGTGACCTGGTTCACTCGACGGTAGTCAATGACCATTCTAGCCTTCCTGTTTTGACCACTGTACACACGAAACGCAGGACTACCCCAGTTGCTTTCTCCCGATGCGTAGTGACCACGACAATACGCTTTAGCGATTTCGTTCTCGAGCCATTCAGCGTGCTCGCCTCCTCGGATCAAGGGGGCCTGACTAATGGGCTCACCCTTGGTGATCATATCGTGGAGAAATCCACGGACCATCGTTTGTGGAGTGTCCTTTATCCACAACGCCTCGCACTTGTCGTAGATAACCTGGCCGATCGCCTGGATCTCGACATGCCGCAAATCTGGGTGGCTCGTGCGATGGTCTGCGGCAACTTTCTCGCTTGGAGCGGGGAGATTCATCCCTTGACAACACTGTCGTGCATACTCGTCATTGCGACGGACATTCCCAGACACCCTTCCATGGGAACAAAACAGGAATCCGGCATGTGGACCTCGGAGAATTTCCCCTGTTGGGCATAACTCTGCCACTTGGCAGCGGCCTCTGCAGATGGCGCATGGGTGGATGTCCACCGCGAGACATAAGGCACCTGTGTCTTTGGAGGCACCCAAGCCGCAGCATCAGAAGCGGCTAACACACGATCCTGGTCAAGGACCGGCGCATCTCCTTCACCATCGAGAACTCCAACCGCCTCAGGGTCCATCACCTCGGAAGGTACAACCAACGAAGATGCACCCAACAAGTACTTACCCTGCGCAGATCGGAGTACTTCAAGGCACCGTCAGTCCCTATCTGCACCTCACGGAAGAGGCTCCGGTATGACACCGTCTCAGGATTTACCCGGGCTGGGCTCCAACGAACTCGGGTGCTACCCCACACGCCAGCATAGGGCTGCAGCACAACTGCTTTCGAGTCTCGAAGATTCTGAAGCACTTTGCCAACCACAAGCTCCTTCTTAGAGGCATCGGGTCGGTACAGCACCAGGGTTCCAGCGATCACGGCACCAAACTTGCCTTTAGGCCCAGGCAGGGGAGCAGGGCTCTGCCCACCCACAATCAGTCCAACTGATCGCCACTCAAGGTCGGTGTCATCGACGAAGACACGAGCTGGAACTCGCACCAACTCTGCCAAAGGGATGTTGGAGATCAGCGTCCCATGTCGAGCAGCAAGCTCACCAGCACGTTCGTAGTACGATGCACCGTTTCACCCATACCCACAGACATCGGCCTATGAGCCGGCGGAGTGCGTTCTTGAATACCCAGTAGCACCGACATCTCCTCGAACAAGGCGTTGGAAAACTCGGGGCCTAGGTCAGGCCGCCACATAGCTGCGACAGTCAAGGAGCGCAGCATGCAAGTCAGCACACCCTGCATCGCGTCCCCGCGCTTCAACGACCTAACTCGTCCTCACTCACAACGGCTCCATTTTTTGCACATGTGAGATGGAGGGGACCCCCGCAAAGCCCACAGCGATGCAGCTGCGCTTTCTTCACCCCCTCGGCCTCAAGCCTCTTAGGGTAAGCGGAGGCAAGGGCCTCCTTGAAGGGAATGGCTTCCGCGAGTGAGAGCACTCGGTTCAACCCCAAATGCTCGGTAAGTCCATCCCAAAACGCGACAGTCTTCTTATGGGCCGATGCCGGTGCAACCAAAACACTCGGTCGCAACTTGCGCTGCGGCGCAAAAGCTTCCGGCACTGCCTGACCCAACACGTTGCAGTCGAGATACTGCGCCTGGGAGAAAGGCTCAATGGACACGAACCCCTCTATCGCACCCCAGGTGTTGCGGGCTTCAATCAGTTCGGACTCCGTCGACACCCGTTGCCTTAGAGCTGCCTCGACCACAAACGGCAAAGAACACATCAGGACGATGAGCGCGCCTTGGTGTGCTCCGACCAACAACCTCGGCTTTCTCCGGCATACCTCACGGATCATGGTCATAACTCCAGTGAGGATCTGCTTTCGGAGTCGTCTAACCGTGTCGGACATCTGTCTGGCTCGAGCATCAATCCAGTAGCCCACGTTGTCGTCATCGGCAAACGACGTGGCGCTGGGCACAACGGTTGACTCAACCCCAGCAGTGCGCAAGCCCTCCTCAACCAGATCACACTGCGTCTGCAAATCTGGCTCGGCCTGGTAGGCCGGGGCATACAGCGCTGCTACCCTGGGTACTACGACCCGGTCCTTCGGAGGTCTCGCGGCTTCCGCGGTCGCTTGTACTGTGTCAGCAACAAGCGCCTCGCCCCGAGCAACTTCCTCCTTGGACGCCGCTTTGGGAGAAGGGTCCGGCTCCGGAAACTCAAGGAAATCATCGCAATCCGGGTCTTTGAGCCGCGCGTGGGCGGTAGCCAACTCGCGCGTTCGCTCCTCCAGCCGTTCCAGCATCTTCTTCTCCTGCTCTTGGGGCACAGAGGTCGTGTCGAACAACCTGCTCAGCCCATCGGCCAAACGCATGCTTCGGCCTGAGAGGTTCCGGATCTCGCTCCCGTCGGCGGTGAGCCGGAGCAAGTCCGGAAACTGACAGGATCAACCGGTCGAGGCTTATCCTGCATCGCACGAGTTCGCGTGGTCTGTGTGCATCACCACGGGGATCGACCCAAACAGCGCTCGGAATTTCCGCCGGCATCGCAGCTGCGCATGCTGCTCCTGCCTGAACGGGTGCCACAAGGTCTGCGCCGGCGTCAAGCTTTCCGCGTGATAGGCCACGCATCCACCGCTGGAGGTCGGCGCTCATCTGCAGGTGCGCTCCCCCCAAGCCAGCCTTGCAACAATCCGCTAGCTGCTCATAGGGGCGAGATCCTGAAGCTGCCGCGTGCTCATCGGGCACGGAAAGACACGTGCAAGCCCGGAAGACCCTCGGGATGCTCTTCGTCCTTCCACAAGGACGGTTCCGCGTGGCGCGGGCAGTCTGCCGCCAAGGCGGAGGCAGACTCAATCCACACCTCGCCGCCCTTGTACTTGCCACTGCAGTGCAGGAAGTTGTGAGTGCCCTTGACGTTCTGCGAATCCCGGTGGATTGCAATACCAGTACTGAAGGACACCTGCAGAGCATTCCAACTCTCGGTGCTAGTCCCTTGCTCTTCACACCTTCGCTTCACGAAGCTGTTCAGGTAGCGGGCAGTGCCCTGCCATAAACGCGTCAAATTTGTCACGCCGGTCATGCCTCCGTAGCGGAATGCTCCGAAGATCATTCGTCGGCGTTCAGCGTTCGCATTGCGCCGTCGACGACAGTCCGGCCGCGCGCACTGCGGCTGCACCTCCCACGCGAGCTGCAACTCGCGGAGAAACTCGGCGCACGCTGTGACGGAAAAATCCTGCTGAGGGAGAAGGCGATCGGCATAAGTCTCTACCGTGTCCCTCGCTCTGGCTTGAGAGGTCGAGCCATAGGCGGCATCGGGCAACAGCCCGCACTCGGGACACGCTTCCTCGATTGCTCCGCCCAGAGAGGGCAACTCTGCGAGGGCCGCAGAATGCGCTGCCAACTTTCGCTTTTACACAAGCTACACCTGGACCCATCGCCAGACAGATCCTTAAACACCGCTTGACCAGCGGCGACAACCTCCCCAACGTCCCACTGCTGCGGAAGGAGAGAATCGTTGTGCGCTACCACGGATCCCTCTCGGCAGATGTCGGGGTCGAAATGCCCATAGGCGACTTCGGGCCCACCTTCCACAGGCACGACCTTCGTCACCCCATTTGGCGCACCAATCCACGTGACTGGCACGACAGCCGACTGATCCGCCTCAAGGTAGACCTCGGCATATAACATAGAACGGAGTGGGGCCTCAAACCGACACTCTGTACCGTCTAGTAAAAATGTTTCGCGCTCGAGCTCTAGTCTCGGCAGTGTGATTCCGAGCTTCTCGAAACGATGCCCGGACTCAACTACACGATGCTGGAGCCCTTTGGGACCAAGCGTCGGGAATCCCAACGCAATCCCTGGAAAACCTGCGGAGTCTGCTGGAATCACTTTGAGGCGGACTGCCGCCACATGAGGCGATCCCTTGCCCACTGGCGTGAACACCAACCGCAAAACAACGAAAAAACGCGTCTCGATGCTAGTCCCTTTCTTGAAACCCATCATCGACTGAGGATCCTTGGAGAAATCCCCAATCTCGCGAATTGGGCAATCGCGGTCTCCCCACTTGTACTTGCCTGAGGCAACGTCGATGCTCACACGCTCGTAAATCTCCGCAAACAACCACTCGGCTATCGACCCACACGTGGCTCCGGTATCCAACAGCGCAACAAGATCAATGCCTCCGCGCGAAACTTTAGTTTGCGCATTGAACCCCGGCGTGGGCGCGGAAGCCACGGTCTTCCGGTCTGCAGGGAGCTTACTCATGTTCCCCGGCCAATGGCGCCAGCCTTTGGCACCGGGCTCCACAGTCTGGTGCGAGGTATCGTAAAGAGGCACAGGGTCTCCTGCTGATCCCACTGGCACCTCAAACAAGGGGTAAACTCGCTCGTCGGAAGCGGCAGCTGCTTTGGCCTTTGCAGCCTTCGCCCCGGATGGCTCCTGCTGCTGTTGCTGATGCGCAGCATCTCCCTTGACGTGAGCGAACTTACACTTGTCTCCGTAAGTACAACGCCCGCTGGCGAACAAGCGGCAGGGCTGCTTGGCCTTGTCCTGGTCCTGGCCCGCCTTACCATCCGAGCCTTTGCCCTTTCCCTTGCCCTTGCCATTCTTGTCACCGCCGCCAACTTGAGAGGCATACTGGTCGGCAGCTGCGAAACCATGGTGTCGGGCTCGGTGAGTGCCATCCTTGATCCCCACCGCGGCACAGAGCTGGCAAACGTTGCCGTTTCTCTGGCTCTCAGCAAGAAGTTGCTCGCTCTCTCCCCTCTTCTCTGCGGCCTTGCGAGGGCACCTTAAGGACACCATGTGGCCAGGGTGACCACAATGTTTGCACTTGGCATCCCCTACACCGCTCGGCAAGCTCACTTGCGCCTGCGAGGTATCGGCCTCGGTGCCATCACCACCACCTTTCTTCTTCCGCTGGCGCCTGTCCTTGATCTTAGGACTCGAGTCCCGCGCCTCGGCAGTGTTGTGGCTCGCCTCCAGGGCCTTATTCGCATCCTTACGCAAAGTGATTTCACGCGCCGCGAGCGCGGCCTCAGACCAGCTTTCCACCCCTCGAAACTCTTGTTGGATCCCAGGGGCTGGCTTCCACGGCCAAAATCGCCGATCTCGCGAGACCTCGTCGCGGAGGTATGACCCAATCTTGTGCAGGTAGTCGTAGAGCAGGTCCTTCTGGCGCTTGTAGACCCCAGCGGCATTGAGCTCGGTCAGGGCCTCGAGCCGGGAAACCTGAAACTCCTGGAAGGCAGTGGACTTCTTATCCAGCGAGTCATACTTAGCTCGGGCTTTCATCGCCTTAGCCTCGTCCGACTCGTGGAAACTTGCATCCAGCGCCGCCACTACCCGATCATACACCACATTTGGTCGCACCTCGTAGTCACCGCTGCTCTTCGCCTCCTTAACGATGGTGTCATAGCATCGGCGACGCGTGCCTTTAAGGGTTCGGGCGAACAAGCGAAGCTTCTCCCGGTCGGTACTGGGCTTCACGACCAAGCAGTCCTGAAAGGACTCCAAATGGCGATCCAGGTCGGTATCACCATCCCCAAAAATGGGCAGGTCGTCCTTCAAGTTAAACGTGAACACGGACTTCTCGCTTCGCAGGGATTTGAGTTCTGCTGCTCGGTCTCGTGCATCCTGCTCCCTCTGGTTCCGCATCTCCTGAAGGATTGCCAACACGGCAGTCTCTCCACCGGAGGGATTCGAGGAGGAGGCCATGTCGAAGTGCTGAGCCCTCTGAACAGGTCTCGCCCGCAGCAAAGGGGGAGTATGCTGTCTCCGCTCCGAACTTCGACTCCTCTCAACATCCTCTTCGGGCACGCGACCCATGAGGGGTGTCAGCATCGCCACGACGAAAGCGAGATGGGGACACCAAACCACAGTTCTCCCACAACCAGTCCTGAGAGGATCTGACAGACCCAGCAGAACTCGGAGGTAAACTCCGGGCATCGAGAGCATTCTCGGCCTTCTCATGCAAGGATTGCAGACGTGCTTGTACACGGCCAGACGAATCGGTACCTCCAAGTTCCCTATAAGCGCGGACAGCTCCATCGTAACGATAGTAGATCGCCACAGGATCCGCTCCCGGCTTCTGCAAGAGTCCCGAAATACCGGCGCCAATGCCTCGAAGCACAACGTCTGGTCCCTTGACTTGGGACGTCGCATCGGTGGCGAACTTTTGGAAGCACGCATAGGCGGTCTTATACTGAGCCTCACCCAACATACCTTCGGCGTAACTAAGTGCCTCATCGCGGCAGTCGGCTCGCGCCATCTCGACTCCCTGACTAAGTCGGACCTCGTACTCGTCTAGCGTCTCGACATCTGGGTCCATCGCGCTTAAAAACGAGGTCTTCAACTCGGAGAGCGAGGCTCCGGTCTCGGGATCTTCGGCTCCCTCGACGGCTTCGCGAGTCAACTCTGACCGATTTCCACGGCTCCTAGAAACGTTCTCGGCCGCAGCGGGGCCAGATGCTGGGGGTGGCACAGGAGGAGACGCTCCTCCATACGCAGACGCCGCCTGCGCATGAGCCGAACCAAACACGAGTGGCTCCACTCGATGAAAAAGCTCAGCAGCTTCCGATGTGGTAACGGTGACACCACGGCGCTTCAACTCCTGAAGGAAACTACCATAGCGCTTGTTGCCCTGGCTCCTCAAGAATTGCCTGGCCTCCACTGCCACCCTTTCCTTTTCGGCCTGAGATAGCGCAAAACCACTCGGCGAGGTTTGACGCCTCGGAGGGTCAAGACTTAAACTCCTAGGCCGCGGGCCAACAGGCCCGGCTACGTAGCCTCTTGAAGATGGCATCGCCATTGTAGCTGCTTGGAGTGATTTCCCAGAACAGCCCCCAACTAGAAGAAGGTCCAGTGGACACGGGGGAAACGTCCAAAGCAAGCTACTTGGGTTCCTTGGCTTAGTCACTCGGTCTGCCGATTGTTTCCTTGCCTCGCTTGCAAGTCCCGGATCACAGTGCAACCGATCTCGATTGGATCGTACTCAAGAGCTCGCAAAACCTGCTGCGCAGCTGCAGTACGTTAACAGGCACTATGGCGGGTTCGTTGCCTTCGGCTAATAGCTCAGCTACACAAACTGCTTTGAGCTACGACCTTTGAGAGTTTGAGCACTCTCAAGTTTGAGTTTGAGTGTCCACAGCTGCAGTCGAGAAGACGTGGAGCTGTACAAAAGCAAAGGCAAACGACATGCAATTGCTACGTCACTGCATCACATGCTGCAATGATGCTTGCTGCAATGATGCTTGCTGCAAAATGCAACCTACACACAACGCACGAAGCGAGGGGACATGTCTCTACGGTACAAACACAGCCACTTCCACTACTGCTACTACTACTACTACTACTACTACTACTACTACTACTACTACTACTTCAACTACTACTACTTCAACTACTGCTACTACTACTACTACTGCTACTACTACTACCACTACTACTACTACTACTACTACTACTACTACTACTACTACTACTACTTCTACTAGTACTAGTACTACTACTACTACTACTACTACTACTACTACTACTACTACTACTACTACTACTACTACTACTACTACTACTACTACTACTACTACTACTACTACTACTACTACTACTACTACTACTACTACTACTGCTACTGCTACTGCTACTGCTACTACTACTACTGCTACTGCTACTGCTACTACTACTACGCCTGCTGCTGCTGCTGCTGCTGCTGCTGCCACCGCTACTACCGCGCTCATGACTGGTGCTGGGCGGCGGGGATGCGAACTCATGTCCCGGAGGCCCACCCTAGGCTCCTGCCTGCAAGTTAATTTTTTGAAGTGACGGTAAATGCTAACCGAGTCCCTTTGAGCAGGTTGCCCCTGACGGCGGCATCCTGGTTGCCGGATACACTACCGGCGGCCTGGATGGCCACACGAACGCGGGGTCGCCGAGCGCCGACACCGTCGTCATAAAGCTTGATGCCTCAGGCAGCCCGGCAGCACTGACTTCCGTCCTGGGCCCAAAGCAAGCGAAAACTGCACAGGAGCTTGGTCCTGGACAGTGCAGCGTGGCACCAGCGCGTATCACGGGGACATTTGTACGGCGTTGCAGGCTGCTGGGCGGGGGAGGGGTTCAAAGAGAGTTGTGTGCCTTGGAGGCTCCAAGAGTGTGTAGCTTGTGACCCTGGGATGTAGTTCACGACTTTTGCGCTGCCGGTAGATTGTTATTTTTGAGGCGTCGGCTTGGCAAACCCTGAGCCACAATCTACAGCCCAGCTGAATCCACCCTTTGATGAGTCGCAAGAACCTGCAACCAGGTGCACCTTCAGTTCTCCCCCTGCCTCTCACGTTCTACCTTATGTTTCCTCTCGTTTGAAAAGTGCGCGTGTTCAACGATTACCGGCAAGTGCTTGGTTGGGAGCAGTTGCGTATCCAATTTTCGATCAGAGCGACAACGTTTTCTTCTTTGGTAATGTTAACCAGGGTGGAAGTGAAGGGCAGAAGTGCCGGTGACCCGCCTGAAAGCAGGTGGCCCCCGATGGCGGCATCCTGCTTGCCGGATATGCTCACGGCGGCCTGGATGGCAACACGAACTCGGGGGATCAGGATATGGTCGTCATGAAGCTGAATGCCTCAGGCAGCCCGGCAGCACTGACCGCCGGGCCCACTAAGCCTGATTGTGACCTGCAAGCACGCCCATGATTGCTTTCGAATCCCGTTGCCTTTGTTTGGCTGCATGGGCCCTGTGAGCCCACGCGCATCGAATGTTATCAACAGTAAGGCGTTCAGGTCGATCTAAAGGACATGCTTAGCACCTATACAATACCCTTCTCGACTGAACGCTCAAAAGGTTTATCTTTGATAAATCTACACGAAGGTTGCCAGCCACGGGTCTCCAGACCACAGCTTTGGGCATGCCTGCAAAATGCATATGTTGAAACCCTAAACCCTAAGCCCTAAACCCTAAACCCTATACCCTAAACTCTAAACCCTAAACCCTAAACCCTAAATGAGTTGAGCCGCCTCTTCTTTCAGTTGTGCTCTGCAGAGCCGCTGCTGTTTGAAACAGAAGGCCTCATTCGTCACCTTCGTATACTCGTCTGCTAAATTTATATCGCCTGGAACCCAAGTTAATAATTGGTGCCATGACCGACAGAAGGTCAGTAGTCTTCCCATTCTCAGTGCTACCAGAAGAGACTCGTTCAAAGTAAGATCAAAGCACCCTCGGGAATCGCGAGCAGTAGCAAGCAACCTAGTACAAACAGAGAGAAGTTAACGTTTGCCTTTCCGGAAGCTTATGACCGTGCAGCAACCAGACGTACTCTCCAACCTTTGTCCCCAGCTTCACCCAAGAAGTACTAAATGTATTTGTAGGGAGTTTACATGTTCGCTTCTCTCACCATATGATTACTATGCTTCTGAATCGTCCAACCTAATTCCCATCCATTGGCGGTCCTGCGGCTGCCACAATGTTTCTGTGAGATCTATCGATGTACTCTGACACGGTCTGCGTTGGAACCATCCAGATACGTGCGTGTGAACACGCGCCACCAGGAACATCGGTAATCATCTGCTCCTGACTTGGTGTTGCGCATGCTCGTGTGCGTAGGGACAAGCAGTGTGGCGGACACTGAAGCATTCGCCGCTCAAGCCGTCTTCAACGCAAAAGTCTGATGCCAGCCTGCTCATTTTGATTCGCTAATAGCGGCGCTTGTCTCTATATGCCTGGCAGACTGACATGCTTCTGACTAAAGGACATGCGTAACACAAAGCAGGCCTTAGCTTCACAGGAGCTTGGTCCTGGACAGTGCAGCGCGGCACCAGCGGAAGTGACAGCGCCCGTGCACTGCAGGCTCCTTTCCGGATGAGGGATTCAAAGAGTTGTGTACCGTGGAGGCTCCAAGAGTGTGACAAGCTAGGTGAGAAATAGCTTGGGATTCCGGGATGTAGTTCTCGACTTGTGCACTTCCAGTGCCTTCAGTTTTAGGGGTTTGTCTACCATGTTGCAAGAATGGCATCGCTATACAGGGATCAGCTTGGCAAAGCAGAGAATGGTCATTGTTCAGCAGAAAATGGGAAGCATTTGGAGGAAGCTATTGCCGCGTGGTAGAACGCTCGTTCGTCCAAGCATAACGATCTCAGGATATCATGATCTCATGTCCATGACCGCATTGTTCTGTTCGAGTGTTGCGGAGACGTCCTGCAGGCACAAGGAGTAGCCCAGCTGAATCCACCCTCTTCCCTGTTGCCTTCGTGACCTCAGCTCTGTGCCTGGGAGCAGGTTGCCCCTGATGGCGGCATCCTGGTTGCTGGCAGCACTACCGGCGACCTGGATGGCAACACCAACGCGGGGGGTTCAGACATCTTCATCATGAAGCTGGACGCGTCAGGCAGCCCGGCAGCACTGACTTCGCCCGGGGCCCAAAGCAAGCGAAAACTTCACAGGAGCTTGGTCCTGGACAGTGCTGCGCGGCAGCAGCATGAGCGAGTATCCTGATGTGATGCAGGCTCCTGGCCGGGGGGGAGGGGTTCAAGGGCAGCTTGGCACGGGCCCAGTTGAATCCACCCTCCGCATTGTTGCCTTCGTGAGCCTTCACAGGAATCTGCAACCAGGTGCGCCCTTAGTGCTCCACCTCTCACATTCTTCTTCGGTAGCAGGGTGCAAGTGATGGGCATAAGTGCCGGTGACCCCCCTGGGAGCAGGTGGCCCCCGATGGCGGCATCCTGGTTGCTGGCGGCACTGACGGCGACCTGGATGGCCACACCAACGCGGGGGGTTCAGACATCTTCATCATGAAGCTGGACGCGTCAGGCAGCCCGGCAGAACTGGTCGGTGGCCACCAAGCATGCGAAAACGATGTCAAATCTCGCAGAGAAGTACTTGTCTTGCGGTTTTGTAAGGGCGGAATGTTTTGAAGGCATTTTCGAGGGGCATTTTTCCCTGGCCCAGGGTCTCTCATTTGGAGACGCGTATTGTGTGAGAGGGTCGAAGATCGCGAAAGGGAGCCGCACGAAACCTCGAGGTGTGGTGCGCGGATCGTTGATCGCGCGCCCGCTCAAAGTCGCATTTAAGTTTGTGCGCGAGATTTAACTAGGCTCCCGCCAACATGAAGGCCTCACTCAGAAAGAAAAGTGCGTTGATAAAGGACCAACGGTCACAGCAACTCGGTCATCAAGACCTTTAGAGCGCGGACACTCCTTGACAGGCAAAACCATTGCGTCCTTATCTGCAAGTGCTGTGGACGATATCAAAGAATTCGGGGTATCAGATTTCGATGCCAGAGTAAACAAATGCTCAGCAGAAGTTCCGGCCAGGTCTAGAAAGAGGTCTTCTAGCATTCGGGCCGTTCGAACATGGGGCGATGGGGTGATGGGGGCTTGGTTGGCTCAGCGACCCTGGGATTTCAAAGCAGTAAAAGCAGTGACTCACCAGCCAGCTCCGAAGGAACGGCGGCTTGCAATTGGGGTCTGGCCACGTCTTGCCGGGAATGAAACCACAGGCACAAGCATGGTCTGAGCCATGCTGCAAAAAAGCATGATGCCAAACATTCATGCACAACCAAATCCCTGCTTAACAGCAAAAACTCATGGCCGTCACAACTTCAAAATGGGCTCAGCAGCTATGTTACAAGGGGGGGCATTCTTTACGCACGTTTTCTCTTGTTTTTTGTTGTTGTTTGCTTTCTGTACGCTCCAGCACTCCTATTCTTAAGAAGGGAAGGGAAGGAAGGAAGGAAGGCTGGCGGGAAGAATAAAGGAAGAAAAGGAAGAAACACATTTTCATTTTTAGGGGGATGTTTTTATCTGTATGTCATCTTTTGGGATAGGGTTTAGGGCTTAGGGTTTCGTGTTTAATTAAGGTTTAGGTAGAGGGAAGGAGGGTTTTTGAAGCCCTGAACCCCCCCCCCCCCTCCCTTAGTCGGAGTTTTACAAAGCGGGGTCGGTTTCGGCAGGATTTTCCGGAAAGTGCTTTTATTATCAGGGGTACGTTTAATTAATATTAGGCGGGACGTGGTTATATCACGGTTCCTGGCATGAATATGATCATTCGTATTCGTAGTGGTTTTAGAGAATGCTCTTTCTGGTCTTCGTGGTCTCAGGCTGCCAGGCCAGACTCAAGCCTCTCACTTCTTAAGTTGCATGGCCGCCACTGTGATCATTGTCTGGTTTAGGGTTTAGGGTTTAGGGTTTAGGGTTTAGGGTTTAGGGTTTAGGGTTTTGCAGCGCTTCCTGGCTTTGATTGGCGCATGCTTGTCTTTGTTGCATGGGGCCCTTCAATATGAACGGAGCGCCTGAATCAACCCTAGAAGCAGATGGTTGGCGGCAAGCCCTAAACCCAAAAGAGAGGCCGGGAGTGGCAAACCACAAACACAAGAGATGTGGCAAATCCTGAACCTTGAAGGAGATGCGAGTGGCAAACCCCAAACCCTAAAGGTTTTGTATCTAGAGGTTATGTACGAATTCCACGAAGAAATCCAAGGAGATGTTGACCCGAGACCCGAGACCCTAAAAGAAGGTTGGCCAGCAAGCCGTAAACGCTAGAAGGAGGTGTTGGCTGGCAAGCCATAAAACCCTCATGGCCCTCATGGCTGGCAACTTCCAAACCTTGACCCCGAATCCCGAAAAGGACTGAAAAGAGATGTTGGCTGGCAAGTTTCAACAGATGCCTTCCTTACGCACACGCAAAAGATGTCAGCAAAGCCCTGATCTTCTGGATGCCTGACACTGATAATTTTGCCAAGAATCCAAAAGTGGATTTCAGAAAAGCTGGCAGGGCCAGCAGATCCAGGCTGGGATCGGAAGTCGAGAATAAACGAGACTTCGTGGGTGCGGTGATCCTTTTTGGTTCTCTGCTGAAAGAAAGTGCATATCTGCAGGTGCTATGATCGCATATAATCCCACAATGGGTTTTCCAAATGCTGGAAAGGTGGTCAAGTACATGCATGGTCGCCGGACTGACTGCTTCCGTCTTAGGCCCATAGGCAAGCCCAAGCTTCGCAGGAGCTTGGAACTGGACAGCGCAGCGCGGCACCAGCGGCTCCGAAGTAGCCAGGGCAATGCAGGCTCCTGACCGGGATGGGGGATTCAAAGAGAGTTGTGTGGGTGAGAATTCACCTGGGATTCCGGGATGTTGTTCACGATTTGTGCACTTCCGGTACATTCCTAGGCGTGTGGGGTTGTCTACTATTTTGCAAGAATGGCATCGCTGCAGAGGGATCAGCTTGGCAAAGAAGAGATTGGTCATCGTTCAACAGAAAATGGGATGCATTTGGGGGAAGCTATTGGCCAAAGTAACGCCCTTGGAGTCCCTTTGAAGTGTCCTGCAGCCATAACGAGTAGCCCAGCTGAACTCTGCTGCTCATTCTTACAAGGTAGCAGGGTGGAAGTGATGGGCACAAGTGCCGGTGACCCGCCTGGGAGCAGGTGGCCCCTGATGGCGGCATCCTGGTTGTTGGCGGCACTCACGGCGACCTGGATGGCCACACCAACGCGGGGGGTTCAGACATCTTCATCATGAAGCTGGACGCGTCAGGCAGCCCCGGCAGCACTGACTTCCGCCCGGGGCCCAAAGCAAGCGAAAACTTCACAGGAGCTTGGTCCTGGACAGTGCAGCGCGGCACCAGCATGCACGACAATCCTGCTGCGATGCAGGCTCCTGGCCGGGGCGGGGTTCAAGGGCAGCTTGGCATAGATGTGCCAGCCACGGCTCAGAGGGTGCATATGCTTCAGTCCGTGTCGGATTTTCAGACACTTTTCTGTCTTCTGGTTCTGTTCATAAATTCTGTATTGATCGCTGCTGCACTTCCGCCCGAGCCATGGCTTGCATACTGTTTTGACACGCGGTCACGACAGATTGAGAACGGCGGCACCGCGTTGCTTCTGCCCGCTTCTCTACATCAGTTCGGTTCTGCCGCTGCAGTTCTTGAACTTTGGCCCCGCTGAGCCTACCTGCAGTCCGCTGACTCAGGCTCACTACGGTATTGGCTCTCAATACCTCGGGCCCTTTGCTCAGTGCCGCGTACTTCTGCTTCACCCGATACATAATCGGTCTGTACCGCGTGCATTCCGTTTTGTTCAGTCGGTGCCGCGTACTTTACTTTACGTACTTACTGGCCCCGCTGACCCCGCCTGCAGTCCGCTGACTCAGGGTTTTTTTTGCGTTGACGCTCAACACGTTGGTGCTTTGCTCAGTAGCGCGTACTCGTGCTGCACCTTCTTACTGGCTCCGCTGAGCCCGCCTGCAGTGCGCTGACTCAGGCTTTTTCCGTGTTGACGCTCAGCACATGCATCTGGTGCCCAGCTCAGTAGCGCTTGCACAGTGTGGCCTGTTGCGCTTGCTTTCCTGCTTGTTGCCGTCTGGTCATCCGCCCGTGCATGTCACATTCCGCTGCGAGAACTCCGCATCGCACGCCGCGTCTTGGCAAGCCTTGTCCTGAGCCTTAGCCAAAGGCATGTGTTCTCTCTTGCGTTCCTTCTTTCTCCTTCAACAACGCCAGTTCATCTCTGTGCATATCGGATGGATGGATGGGATCGGCGCGCAGGATAGGCAGCCCTCCAGCAAAGGTTCAAGGTCCCTCACTGGCCACCCCATGCAAGCATCTATGAACTGACCAGTGCCCGCGCAGGCGAAATGCACAGGCCAGACGGCAGTGGGTCCTCGAACAAGGTGCAAGCACAGGGGCCAGCAGTGCATCCACACAGCCTCCAGTCTCACCCTGCGCTCTTTAGGCAAAGGCCAGCAAGTCACAGCCAATGCCCAGAGCGAGTGCACCAGATTAGTATCGGCTACGAGGACAAACCTGCTTGGCAAGACTTCGCCAGCAGGTTGTGGAAGCAGCCGGTCTCTGTGCATATCGATCATGTTCCGGGATTCAAGAATGATTAGCCGATGGCCTCAGCCAAGGCTATGAAGCTTCGCTTTTAGGGTTCCTTTCCGATCAGGTCTGTTCCGTGCCTTGGACCTCCTTCCCAGACACGCTCTGCATCTGCACATGTCCGTGGAGCATGGAATGCTGGCCTGAATTACCCTGTCGGGTCAAGCCTCCGCCTGAAATCTTTGGTGTTTTCCGGTCCGCAGATCTTTGTGGTCCGCAGATCCATGCAGATAGCTCTGACCGAAGAGGATCCGCTTTTTCTGCCACTGACTAACACGCAGCGGAAGTATGCGCCGACCTCTGTCTGCCTGCCTGCCAGCCACGGTCAGAGGGTGGAGTGCATACGCTTCAGTCCGTTTCGGATTTTCAGACACCCACCTCCGTCCCCTTTTGCCTTGCCGTTGTCTTCCTTGCCGCAAGCCGTCTTCGCTGTGGCCTGCTTCTGCGATTGGCCCGAACCAGCCACCTGTGTTGGTTTGTGCCTATCCCGAAAGTGATGGCTCCTCACATCTTTGTGACGTAACACTGCCCGTTTTGCCAGGATTGGATTTCCAGCTTACCACTCTCTCCGATTACATTCCCGCGTTACATTCCTGCATTATTAGCTTGTCTGCTGCATGGACCCTGTTTTTCGGTCCAGCATTCTTTCCGGTCCGCAAATCTATGCGGTCCGCAGATCTATGCAGATAGCTCCGACCCCAAAAAATCCGCTTTCTCTGCCACTGAGACAAAGCGGGTGCGTCTCGCGTTGAAGAGAGTTGTGTGCCGAGGCTTCAAGTGTGTGACAAACTAGGTGAGAATTCGCCTGAAATTCCGGGATGTTGTTCACGATTTGTGCACTTCCGGTACATTCTTAGGCGTCTTAGGCATTTGGGGTTGTCTACCCTTTTGCAAGAATGGCGTCGCTGTAGAGGAATCAGCTTGGCAAAGAAGAGACTTGGTCACCGTTCAATAGAAAATGGGAAGCATGCGAAGGAAGCTATTGCCCAGAGTAACGCCCTTGGAGTATAGTGACTTGAAGATACTCGTATCATGGTGCAACCATAAGGAGTAGCCCAGCTGAGTTCACCCTCTGCACTGTTGCCTTAGCGATCAAAGTTCTCCTCCCGCCTTTCTCATTCTTACAGGGTGTAAGTGATGGGCATAAGTGCCGGTGACCCCCTGGGAGCAGGTGGCCCCTGATGGCGGCATCCTGGTTGCTGGCGGCACTCAGGGCGACCTGGATGGCAACACCAACGCGGGGGGTCATGACATCTTCATCATGAAGCTGGACGCCTCAGGCAGCCCGGCAGCACTGACTTCCGCCCTGGGCCCAAACCGAAGCTTCACAGGAGCTTGGTCCTGGACAGTGCTGCGCGGCAGCAGCCTTGACGAGGTTGCCAGGGATATGCAGGCTCCTGACAGGGATCAGGGATTCAAAGAGAGTTGTGTGCCAAGGCTTCAGGAGTGTGGCAAGCTAGGTGAGAATTCGCCTGGGATTCCGGGATGTTGTTCATGATTTGCACGCTTCCGATACATTCTTAGGCATCTTAGGCATTTGGGGTTGTCTAGAATGGCATCGCTGTAGAGGGATCAGCTTGGCAAAGAAGAGACGGGTCATCGTTCAGAAACGGGAAGCATGCGGAGGAAGCTATTGCCCAGAGTAACGTCCTTGGAGTCTCTGGAGCCTTTTTCCCTGTATAGTGACTTGAAGACATCATGATCTCTTGTCCACGGCCGCATTGTAGTCGAGGATGTTGAAATGTCCTGCAGCCATAAGGAGTAGCCCAGCTGAATTCACCCTCTGCACTGTTGCCTTTGCGATCAAAGTTCTCCTCCCGCCTCTCGGCACAAGTGCCAATGACGTGCCTGGGAGCAGGTTGCCTCTGATGGCGGCATCCTGGTTGTCGGAGACACTACCGGCGACCTCGACGCTAATACGAACGCGGGGTCCCTCGACATCTACGTCATGAAATTTGCCCGGGCCTCGCTCGTGCGCAGATGTTTGACCTTACCCCAAGCAGAGTCGGTGTAGATGTACTTCACTAGATGTTGAACCAGCGCCGATGGGCAGCTTCAAGGCATCCTAAAGTTTAGACTACTCTAACATCCTGACCCGAAAGCTCAGAAGAAGATGGCCCGCCATCCACACAGCCAGTGCGGTTGCACTTGGTTGCCTTCTGTTAAACAGACGCACATCAGGGTCGACAGGCACTGTATACGCTCCGCTTGCATGTCCAAACATTGTGACAAAACTCAGCTAGTCTTCCGTGCGCCTGTGATGGTTCATGTCCTCGAGCATACAATGCAACGCGCAACCTCAGAACACACAGGGGTTTAGTTGCTGCCCCCTGCCCAAGACAAGCCGAGTTGCTGTCGCGTGCATCCCACGCAGGCCACCACCACCACCACTACCGCCACTAGCACCACCACCACCAAGGCAGGGGACAGGACAGCGGTCTGCCAAGTGAAGGTGGTATACAGCTGGGTGCAGCAATTCATTGCGTGTAATTACATACTTCAGGAAGTCATGCCCAAGCGTCTGTGCAGCCAGCCCCAAGGCACAAAAGTTTGTGGCAACACATATTTCCCGGCCCCCAAAATGCACAGACCCCCGAAAGACCGAATATGCGGCTGGCGGCGTCGCCAGCTTGCCTTCAGGACGAGTTGCGGGAGTGCTGGCTTGGGATTCCGCAGATAGACAACAGACAACGAACGTTCTTCTCCAAAAAGTTGTAATGCATTTTTACCGAGTTGAACCACTATCTGCTGTGCATGTGACCGCGGTTGCATTTCATTGGAGACTGGCACTCCTTTACCGAGAAGAAGTCAAGACAATCTGCAACAGGTTCGGTAGCGCAGGAACAGCGCCAGTATTAAAGATTGACAAATAGGGGCTGACAGGTCCATAGCCGAAGTGTGTGAAACGGCGTAGGGATCCAAGTTGATGGTCAGTCGATGACCACGACCTCTACAAAGACGTCCAGCACCTCGACGACGCGCACGTCGAGCTCTACGGCATCTCGGCTGCTCTTCTAGGCTTGAAGGGGGTTTCAGGGTGCAGCCCCACGGCAAACCCCAAACCCTGATACCCTGAACCTTAAAAGTACACCTGAAAAGTTTAATTTTTGCGCGTATCCAAACCCAGGGCAGCATGGAGCCGTGGAACTTCAAACACAGACTCGGGACCACTGGAGGTCTTGTGTTGCCAGTTCGTGTCTGGTCGCCAACTTGGGGTTTGCCTTTTGGAAACTTGTCAGTTGAGGAGCTGTCTAGCAATTCGAAGGCCCTAGACGCTAAGGCCTGAGAGTGTGTTTAGGGTTTAGGGTTGGGCAGCCAAACATGCCCAGGCAACGACAACCAGCTCCTCGACGACTGCCACGTTCACCAGTACCAAAACGGTTGGGGCCCAAGCCATCCTCCCCCCCACTAGTGCCAGCCAGGGCTTTCAGGATCGATAGATGTGGTGGAATGAGTAGGAAATGTGTGGAAATGTGTGGATATCAATCTTCGACCCTCGGCCCTCCTTTACTACTCATACAGGTGCATCTAGGCACGCTACAGTCGTCTCAGGTGAAGCTTCATTCAATTGGGACCTCTGGCGTGAAACCAGTTTGCGCCGTGGTCTCTCACGTTGTGGTCTCTCACCTATCCCCACCCTTTACCACCCTTTCGCCGACTCGGCCCACCACGGTTAGCGCCACTTCCACTGTCACAACCACCACGACTTCCACCGTTACCACTACTGGCCTCAGTCTGAGGGTTCAAGGGCTGGGATCCATGCAGAGGTCTTAAGGCGCGAGTGTGCGCTAGGGTTTGTTGTTAAGGGCGTAGGGAAGTTGATGGTCAGTCGATGACCACGACCTCTACAACCGCGTCCAGCACCTCGACGACGCGCACGTCGAGCTCCACGGCATCTCGGCTGCTCTTCTAGGCTTGAAGGGGGTTCCAGGGTGCAGCCCCACAGCAAACCCCAAGCCCTGATACCCTGAACCTTACAAATACACCTGAAAAGTTTAATTTTTGCGCGTATCCAAACCCAGGGCAGCATGGTCAATGCAAACATACTGCCCCGAGTGTCTCCATGCTTAGACTTCCCCAATCTGCGCCACATCCCGAATGGGGCTCACGGTCAGTGCTTTTGTTTGAAGGCTCAAGCAACAGGCGGAACCCGGCTGCCCAAACGTCATCTTCTTTTGCAAGCTGGTGTAACATGAAGCCGTGTAAACATGTAAGCATATTTTGAAGGCCACATCCATGACCGCTTCGAGCACCAGCTCCTTGAGCTTCACCAGCACATCTTCCAGGACCACCACGTCTAGGAGCTCCAGCTCTTCCAGCACCACTCTGAGCACTTCCACGACCATCACCTCCTCGAGCACCAGCGCCACCTCTTCCAGCACCACTTCTTCGAGTGTCACCGTCACATCTTCCAAGACGACCACCATGTCAAGCAGCGCCACATCAACCACTTCGAGCAGCAGCATCACCACCACCCTGTCTATCACAAGCTCCACCGACACAACCCAAACTGCCACCATCACCACTGCAACCATCAGCACAAGCAGCACCTCAACCTTTTCTACGAGCGCCACGACCGTCACCTGTGAAGCTGGCCAGCATGCGGGAGCCTTGGCTTGGGGGCTTGGGTGATAAATATTGGTAAACGCAAGCACCTACGGACCTAAGGTGCTTTCAGGCGCGTTGCGCCACCTCAATATCAGCCCGAATTTGCGAATCTGAGCTTACTGCGCCAGGCGCCGGCTATAATTGCATAAAGCATACCGAAATCTCATCCATTCCATCAATACCACTGCATGTGCATTCAATCTCCAATCTCCACTTCCCACCGCGCAGAGACCATGCTCGTGTGCGGGAAAGATGTCTGAGAGATGTGTTGAACCCCTTCTATAAAGACTGTATGTTCGCACGCAAGCCTCCCTGCAAATGTACTGAGAGTGATCAGGCATGCTCCATCTTCGACTACGGTTCAGACGGCTCGGGACTCGAGATTTGGGGGGTCGAACCCTTCTTCCGGACCGCGAAACATAGGGGTATCGGCTTTCGCAGGAGGCCTGTGCTTCAGGAGTTAGGCTCCGCAGATTGCACCACTCGAGCAAAATCTCTGTGTCAAGCATTGGCTCGATTTTGCAGCTTTTCCCGGTTTCCTCTAGACTTACATCTCCCAAAGCATTTTGATGTCCAACGGAAGGAAGCCTGATATCGCACGCCTTCGAAATGTAAGGAAGGTCACGCCCATTGTCAGGCTCAATGTCCAAAGAGTCTAGGGTTTACGGCTTTGGGAAAGTGATCTGGGGTCACACTTCTAGGTCAAAATGCAGGCTTGCAATTTGAGGTGTGTTTGTGTGTGTGTGTGTTGTTCCTGCAAGTTTCAAACCCTAAGCCCTCAACATTTCTTGCATACTGGGCAGCGCATGGTAGATGCAAAAGCCCTGAATCTCGGCTTTTGTTTCGAATTCTAGAACCGGCAAGCCTCGAGCACTCAGAACAACCTCCCTCCTACACCGTCCTACACCCCCCCCGGCTTCGGAGTTATATGAAGCAGGACTGGTATTGGTGAATGTATATAAGGTGCCTTTTTAATATTGGTGAGTGTATATGCCTGGTGTCCTTTTGGGGGGTACAAGACATATATGCCCTACTTGATATGCTGAGGCCGGCCATCCAAAGCACCCAAAGTGCAGTGCCTGAGCAGGTCCTCGCCTGATGTCGGGCTTCGGGTTTGGGCGGTCAAGGAGTTCATTTGGGCTTGGGCTTGATTGGGCCTTGTCGTTGCCTCGAGGGAAGGGACTTGGGGTGTTTCCGAATGTCTAGCATCAGAGAGTGCATTTTGTGTTGAGGACTCTCAGACCTGAAGCCCACCACCAAATTGCAGCACAGCTGGCCTTTCATGTGCTTTCATGCAGAAAGGTGATCTGAACTGTACGCTTTTGATTCTTCCGCTTTTGAGGTGTTGCGACGACACTGCGTGGACCTGCAGGGGGCCCTAGCTGAGATCCCCTCTCGACTTGATTGTGATACCCCTGAAATACGCGTGGGCCATGTGGCGTGAGAGCCGTAATCCTCCTGAAGTACTGGAAGCTGGAACTTTTCCACTTTCCACTTTGCGAGCACCGTATCCGCGAGGATGCAGCTCTTTACTGCAATTAATTAAGATGAAACAAGTCAGCCAACCAAGCCTGTTCCGGGTTCCGGGGGGTGTTGGAAATTATCCATCCTCCCTTGACCTCTCCAATGATGATCTGGTCACAACGGGCGAGGGCGTGGCAGGGTTGGCGGGCGGAGCGCGGCAACGTAAGAAGAAACGGATGGCCAATGACCCACAACTGTGCAGCGACGAGAACCACATCGCAGACCTGTTGCCGTTGCAGGTGCTCTTGCTTGAGCTTCTTCACTGTTGCCGGAAGACGGAGGCTGGGGTAGGTCAAGTCTTGAAAACAGAGAGCAACGAGACCCTGTGGGTGCTGCTTCACAAATGAAAAGAGGCACCCTGTCCACTGGTCTGCTTGCATGTCTTGTTTCCAAACATGGCATTCTATACTACCGGGCCAACGAGCGGCTAGGTAGCCTCCCAACCTGGCAGGGGCAGTGACAAATGAGCAAGGACCCACTGGTGTAACCAGTGCTTTTTGGATGGGGCGCATGTCCAAGGTCCTCAAGCATTCCACACCCTGGGAGAAAGTACAGAGGGAGGCCGTCTCCTGTCGCGGCTGGCCTCCTACTATCCAAGTTGGGGAAAGGCCCTCCCTAAGCCAGAGGGTAGCCTTGCGGTGTGCTGCGAGGATGGTCAGCGGCAGTTCCTCTCCAATGTCTCCCTCTAGGTCAATTGTCCACGCGTCCAAGGTGGTCCGCATGTCTTTGATGCTGTAGCATCCGGATGAGAGGATGCACCTATATTCGTCAAGAAGCAAAGGCATATCCGGAGCAACCCCATCCCTGAAAACTCCCCTCAGAGTGTCAAGAAGTTGTTGGTTCACATGTGGCCTTAAGGCAGTTGGACGCACTGGCCAATCCGGTTGGGGCCCCTGCGCGATGCTGGCAACCCCCAGAGAATCGCACCCTGTGTTGGCTTTGGTGCTACCGATGCCTGGCTGCTTGTCAGCTACAAATCCCGCAGCGATCAATGCCTCTCTACACGCAACTGAATGTCGCAGGTGATTGCACAGCCGAGTGTGGCACGCAAAGGTTTTCAGGCACTTGGGGCACGCGGAGCCCGTGGTAAGGAGACGTTCTGGCCGGACTCGGCCATGGACTTTGAAGGCGTGCACTGACCAAGCCTGGAAAGGTGCAAAAGTCTTCCTGCATACACCGCAGGCCTCCTCTGTTCCTGAGTAGGCATCGCTGGGCTTCGGAATGGCTCCTGCGTCGATGAAGCATCGGGAGAGGATGCCATGGTACTGCTGCGCCTGGTCCGCAGCAGAGTCTTTCCAAAAGGAGACATGTAGAGCCCGTGCGATCAGAGCCTTCCATTTGCCCGGAGATGTCGCCAAAGTGCCGCGCCACTCCTGCCATGCATTCTGCCAAACCTTGTGGCGGCTGCCACCGTCCATCAGCCCCCATAGCCAACTTACGGACCCTTGGAGAAGTTGGAGCCACCCTCCCTCTGCGTGCAAAAGCGCCCAAAGCTGGTCCGGGCCCTCCCGACAGAGCGAAGCCGCATACCTCAAGCGTTCTGCATGAATGAGGGACGGGATGGAAGGGAGTTGCAAAAGGAAGAGCAGGTGGTCTCGACCGATGTGGTTAGCGTCGAAGTCTAGATGTTTACGGAGCATGATCTTCCCCATGGCGAGGTAGGCTTCCGTGAGCGTGGCAACCGCCTTGCCGGAAACTTGGGTCCACGTGCCAACCCCAAAAAGGAGGACTGAACTGACTACCGACCCAAAAACTACAGTCTTGTCTCGGACACAGATGTCTCCACGTGAGAAGAGTTTACGTCGGTATTTGCCGAAGGCCTGCCAAGCCGCACCGGCCCTGATCCTGGCCTCTTGTTGGCAGCCCCCCTTGTGGTGGAGCACGCCTCCAAGATGCTTGTACCGCGGAACTACCCTGATCCTCCAGTCGGGCCTGCACTGCGAGTTGATTTGGATGGATGGGGCCTGGCCATTAAGGTGTTGCAACCGCACCTTTCTGGATCCTGGGCCGCAGACCGAACATATGACCTCAGTCTTATTTGGCGCCATGTTTGGTATCATGCCATGCTCCAGACAGGTGTCGACAAGGACCCCGCACGCATAAGCGACCTCCGAAATGGCCAATTCTGCTGAGGGATGAAGGAGGAGAAGGGCTAGGTCATCCGCCCAGATGGCGTCAGAGAGAGTGAGGTCTCCGGTCGGCTGTATGCCTGACGTGACAATCGAGCCTTGCATGGCATCGCTCCATGGCAAAGTGAAGTTGATGCCGCTCGCCGCCAAGGTGCACGAGACCTTGTTCACGATGACCGAGAACAAGAAAAAGAAGACTATGTCTGCAAGCGCGTCTCCCGGCCGCGAGCCTATTGTTGTGCGTACAATATCCTCCTGTCCGTTCAGGCAAAACCAAGTATCCGTGAGCGTCTCCTCTAGAAAGGCCCGAGTCCACGGAGTAGCTTCGGCCTGCTGCAGAGCCGGCCTACGGACGGCCTCCGCCAGTTCTGCCGCAGCCTTGGGCGGCAGAGCAAGTTCGGCGACGACCCTTTCGAGAAAGGAGCTTTGATCCAGGCGCCCCGTCAGTAGGGGCCGAAGCACTCGATGAAACGCTTCACGTAGGTCGAGGAAAAGGATCGAATGCGGGCGCCCTTTCGCAAGGGACTGGAACGTTCGCACTGCGTGCGCCGGCATAGTCACAGGAAAGAAAGGGAGGCCGCCCACTTGAAGCGGCCTGGAGATGCGCCGTGCCGCCGTTAGGCATTTCGCCCTAACTGCCGCGTCTGGAAGCTGGAACACGGTGATCGAGACATTGGTCTTGTTTTGCTTACTCCTTGTTTTGCTTACTCTGCTTTCCTGAGGTGGCTTGATGGTTGATGACAGAACCTCGAAACAACAAGTCTTCCAACCTGGCAAACAAACCTGCGGGACTGTGCCCGAATCTTGGCAAAGAGTCTTGTGGCAAGCCGGTAGCCATGGTTCCTGCTTTAATACTCCCTTTGCCATAGACTTCATAGCCGATGTACGAAATGCTATATACCCAATTAAGGCATATACCATACATCATACTAGGGTTCGTGTTTTTAACTTAAGGGATATTCCTTAGTTAAGGGGTTTTGGAGTCTCTGGGTACTTTCGCTGTGTCATTCTTGAGGCCTGCCCAACAACTCTTCCGCCAGTTGCTGGATGAAAGCAGCTGGGCCCTGCCCCCCCCTGCAGCTTGGACGTGTGTGAAAGCTTGTTAGCGTTTAGGATTGATTGCTTCAAGTTCAGAAAGGTTTCTAGAAGGCGCAAGAAAATTTCCAGAAGTCTTGGAAATTACCGAGGTTTGATAAGATTTAGGGGCAAACACAAGAGGCAGAGTGATAGGTCTTTTGCTCGTGTGCCAACTTCTTTCAACATGTTTTGGTGCCCTTCAGTTCTGCTCGAAACTCGCACCTTCAGGGTTGCTGGCCAAGGCCTTGCGCTGCTGATGAGAGCCTTGGATACTGTACAGTTCGAGTCGGGCCGTCTTTACTAGTCCCTGTACTGTTTTCGCAAGAAAGGAGTATGAAGAATGAGACGGGTTGAAGGTCTTGAGAGGTCGAGGGGGTTGAAGGTCTTGAGTCCAGTTTCGGCCAGAGCTTGGCAGGGAAGGGAGGAAAACTTGTCTTGAAAGAGCGTCCTCGGACCTCCGCAACAGTCCCGGCCCCGGCGAACTTCTCTTTGCAACATTGATGCGCTATAGTGAGCTTGAGGGTTGGCGCGGCAGAGCTCTGAGGATTCCCTGCTACTCGACACCATACAATGCGGCGTGGCAGCAAGTGGGAATGGTCGAGCCAGAGAGAGCTACCGAGACCCTAAACTAACTGCTGGTGAGTGACATTGCATAAGTGTATAGTTATAGCTTTTGCCAGGGTAGTCCGCGGGAACCTGTTTTTTGGTTGTTCCCCCGTGGAACAAGCCTCCGAAAAGATAGATCGTCCAAGAGCTCCTTCTGGCGCTGAAGCTTCCGCTTTCCGACAAGCTTGCGCTTCACCACCTTGGCTTGCTGCAACAACAAGCCTGCGTCTTGAGCAGTCGCTCATGGCGCTCTCATTAACACATCTCCACCCCGAAGAAGAACTCGGTCTCCACCACGATTCGAACAGGTGCGCCCGGACCCTGCAGGAAGAAACAGAGCGCCCTGCCTCCGCAGGAAGAAACAAAGCGCCCGGCCTCCGCAACGCACACACACACACAAAAAAAAAAAACACGCGTTCGGCCTCTGCAACAGAAGGCGTGATTGGCCTCCGTAGACAAAAGAAAAACGGCCTCTGTAGGAAAAGGACCTTCGCAACAAGAGACACACTCTGGGTCGTACCATGGTCCGTGCTCCCTCTACTTCTTCTTGTGCTACTTCTCAGTTCGCAATGAACCAAAAGTAGGTGAGCCACTAACTGCCAAACCACAAACCCCAGCCACATCCCGAAGCCAGGCCGCACACTTCAGCTGCTATGCAGCTGCCGAAGGCTCTTCCGCAAGCTTGGTTATCGCGTGGCTTCGGAACAGGTTTCGGGCGTGCGCTCTTGGATTCGAGCAGTTGAGACAAGTTGACTGAGAGTCTAGGGTTTCGTAGCGAAGTCCAAGGGCATCGGGCATAGGCTTTGTGTAGTCAGTCAGTCAGTCACGTAGGTTCAGTCTTGTTGCAAGAACTCAAAAACGTAGCGGTTTGGGATGAGCTTATGTTTCTCAGCATCGTCGGTGCATGGTTGAAGCATGCTAAAAGCTACGAGGGCTGAGAATGCACATGGGCCTAGATGAAAACACATGCGTTGAGATACGTTGAGATATCTATTTGGTGCGCATTTGGTGTTTGCAGGCTGCCCTTGTGACGAACAGCAGACGGAATGCTTTATCCGTGGACAGCACGTCTGTTTTCCAAAGGAGACCTCATGCGCCTGGGGTGCAGAAGTGAACGCCATGTCTTTGCTGTGTAATCGACAGTGAAAGCATGTATGAATCAGACTGACGGAATTGTGTGCCTTCAGATGTCACGACTGGCGATTTAGGTTGCTAGCGCGGTTTAGGGTTTAGGGCTTAGTCAAGCCCCCAACCCTCCACCCTCCTTAGAAAAACTGAGGTCCGGTGGATTGTCAAGGCCTTCCAGAGTGTCATCATGAATCAGGCGGTCCGCTTGACCTAGCTAGTTAAACATCAAATGGACCTGCATGGCTCAGGGTTTGGGTTTAGGGTTTCTGAGATCCTCGCATCCGCCAGTAGTTCAAGCGACCAGCTTTCCTTGAAGGGCTTCTCGCTTTTCAATCGAGAGCCTACAGCTCCTGTAAGCGATGGACCTGGGAATGCGGCAAGTGAGGAGGCTTCGGGCACTACCTTACACTTGTGTCCCGAGCTCCAAAATCAAAGAGTCCGAGGCAACACGAGCTGCGCAACTAGTACGGGCTGCAGGTGTGAAGACGGCGAGTTTCCGTGCCGGCAGCAGGACGGGTTCTGTCTTCGGATGGCCTTCGGGGGCTTCTGGTCTTCACCATGATCATGCACCGGAAGCGATGTAAAGTCACTTCTGCAGGAACGAGGGGTGATAATCAGATTGCAAGCTTTTTAGTGAACCTTCCAAGCAGCCAATGCTGTGGTCGACGTGGAAAATTTGAGGACTCGAACCTGACCATCTGCCTCGCGGAGGCGCATCTTAGGATTTGGCAGTTTGGGTTTCGCCCATCGTGTGAAAGCCGAAGATAAGCCAGAGCGAAAGTAGTACAAGTAGTAGGCACAACGTACCTCGTTTGCCGTGCCTTCAGCGGCAGCAAGTTGAAGTGCAGACGCACACTGCAAGGTTCAAGTAGGTAGAAGATGCCAAAATGGTGCTTTCGCTTCGGTCTTGGCTATCAGTAACAGGGGTTTGATGACCGAACGCTTTTTATTAGCTTTCACGCAGTGTCGACGAAGGCCTGGTTAGGCGAAGTAGATGCCTCCGTCACCCCCCAAACAGGAAAAACTGGGCCAAACTCGCCTGTGCAGAGCACGGCGCAGTGAAGGGCTTCGGAAGTTCAAGAAAACAGGCTGGTGTGGGCATGGATGCTTGTGGCCAATGGAAATCATCGTGCGGGCATGGATGCTGTGGCCAATGGACGAGCTGGTGGCAAAGCCAGGAAATGTGGTACATGCCAAGGTTTTTGACATGCGAGGCATGCGAAACACGTACATATCGACGTATTCACCAACCCTCAAATCACGGCAAACGAGGAACGTGGAGCCAAACAATGGCAGTCGTTGTCGTCCCGAGATAGAATACTAGGCCGTAATTGTCGTAGTAGTTGTAGTAGTGATGATCGTCGCATCAGTCATGCAGTGGTGCTGCAGCAGCAGCAGCAGCAGCACCAGCAGCAGCAGCAGCAGCAGCAGCAGCAGCAGCAGCAGCAGCAGCAGCAGCAGCAGCAGCAGCAGCAGCAGCAGCAGCAGCAGCAGCAGCAGCAACAGCAACAGCAACAGCAACAGCAACAGCAGCAGCAAGAGTAGTAGGGTGGTGGTGGTGATCGTGGTAGTGGTAGTGGTAGTGGCCGTGGTAGTGGTGGTAGTAAGAGCAATGAGCGAAGAATGCTGCCCCTCTTTACTGCTTCAATGATGCGACGGCGACTATGGTATTGAATTACTTTTGGGTTACGATTCAGGACTGGTGCCCGAAGACCTGCGAAGAGCACCAGGAACTTTGCGCCCTAACGTCCTTCAAGGACGGGAGGCAGCATCTAGGCCGCCGAGAAGTCATCGTATATGAGCCAGCATGGCTGGTAGGTCGCATGTTGCATCATGCTGTGCAACTTGAATGCCTGCACCCTTTCTTTACCCAATGAACCGAGTAGAGTATCGTATTGTTGTATCTTGAAACGTGCCCCAAGCCCTGGTCCTCCAGGTACATTACACAGAATTGCTCCTGGGACACGGTGTGCCCTCGAGTGTGGTGCGACAACGTCACGGCGCGACTGTGACTAAGTTGCAGCAAGACTGTACATACTGTACCATATGAATCTTTCATGAGTTGTCCATGAGCCGTTTAAAGAAATATGTTGGGTTTGATGTCGTGCAGCGGGGTCTGCTGTGGGCGGTTGACGACTGCGCTACACTGATGGATCTTCATCGGGTTTAGCCCGCTCAATTCCTGACCTCGTTAATTGACGCAGGTTGGGTGCCGACTTCCCCGAACCTTGAAAGGATCTACAAGGTAGGCACCCAAAGTCTATATTATGCAAGCCCTTGCAAGCAAAGGTGCAATGTCGGAGGTTACGACTTTTGCGTTGATCGCGGTGCCGAATGCCCATGCGCAGACAAAGAGTGCTCTGTGGACTCTTGGTTGTTGGCCTTACCTTGGTGAAGCATGCACGCAGGGCAAGTGAGCAGAACTCGACATAAGGAGAATTTCGATGCACAGGGAAACTTCCTGAGCTTTTCCACGAAATGCCGCTTGGAAGAGTCGGAGTGCGTGATGCCGTTCAGATCTGGTCAGATGTCGGCGACGCGTAGGAAGCCACTCTGCCAGCCATTGAAGCGGGTGCTGACTCACCTGGCCTGGACTGTTTCCACTTTGTGCGCTAGAGAGTACTAGACGTGCAGTGGGTGCTGCAGGAGAGCAGGCCCTAGAATCAGCGTGAGTGCTGCAAACCCTGCTGCAGCCCTAATGGTTTCATCAGCTACAACATTGTGGTCTTTGTGTAGAAAGAATAGAGATAGGGTGGTTGAGTATGTTGAGTCTGTGGTATACTTCTGAGTACCTTGCGGAAGCCAACCCTCGGCCAGAACCAAATGGGGCAAAGTCAAACGAAAGAGCGTGCAGAGTTCAACGATAGCGCTAGTACTGTTCATCGGTGTCATGACCGATCTTTGTTGCTATTACTACTATTTGCTTAAGAACTCCCCAAAAATAATAATCATCCGCGTATTGCCCTTATAAGGAAGAATATTTCCATTTTTTGGGGGGTTGTTAAGCAATCAGTAGATTGCTATGAGGATGACTGGGGACCCATGTCGAGCAGCGTAGGCAGCTGCAGTGTAGCAGACAACAGTGCATAACAATCCTGCCGCTCAGGCATTGTTCCTGGTATCGTTCCAGCGTAGGGGCACCCCACATAAACGCCCAGATAGATAGACTCAGGTGTTTCCAACAATGTCCCTTGCGAGTGCGGTGACAATGCCAAACTTTGTGGAGCCTACTGTGTGCCAGAGCCATGGCTGCTATCTTGATCCATGCTTCAGGATTAGGGTTGTGGTCAGGATGTCGGAGTTTAGGCTTCTGGTTGAGGTTTGAGGTTCATGCTTTGGATGTCATTTGCGCTTTCTGATGCTTTTGGAGTGGCTTTGCAGGCGTATGTTCACTATCAGGAAACAGTTCTGCATGCTGCAGCTGTTGTGCTACAGAGTATTTGCCGGGTACATTTCTGCCCTCGGCGGCGTGCTTATCGTGGACGGGGTTTCTGGGGTGCATATGACAATTTTCAATGTTATGAAGCTGGGCATCTTTCGATCAGGGCAGGTTGCCAGTGAAACCCTAAACCCTAAACCCTAAACCCTAAACCCTAAACCCTAAACCCTAAACCCTAAACCCTAAACCCTAAACCCTAAACCCTAAGCCCTCAACCCTAAACCCTGAGACCAGGCCGCGGAGGTTTGCTGCGACAACGCCACGAGTCGCTGGTGCTATGCCCTGTCCCGCACTGCTGAAGGCGGCTTGGCCACGGTCCAGAAGAGCTCGCACAAAGCCCTCATATGTCCCCATGCAAAGTGCAAAAAGTACAACATTGTAGCATCTAAACCCTAAACCCTAAACCCTAAACCCTAAGCCCTGAACCCTAAACCCTAAACCCTAAACCCCTTCCGCAAAAACACAAAGCTCCTGCGAGTCATGTCCGAGGCTCGGTAGATTTCGCCAAGGAGCCTGAGGCGACCTGTATGCCGAACTCAGAGCTCCTGGCTTGCGCTTGCAGGGAAGCTTTCGGGCTGCTTTCGGGTCTGGGATTCAGGGAATTCCAGTCCTTGCTGCAATGGAGTGGCGTTTAGTGCTTTCACGCTGAAAAGCCAAGGCTGTGTGGCTGCGGAGTGAATACCAATGCCAAGCCATGCACATGGACGGTGGCTTGCCTCCACAAGCCTCACTCATCCTCACTCCACCCATCTGGTTCCCAGAGCACGGGGCTGTTGGGCTGGCACTTCTGTGCATCGAAAATGACTGTCATGGTGCTTCTTTCAAGACCTTGCGTGCGTCTTTACACACTACACTGAGCTGTTTGTGCCGGTACCATTTGCAGCTTTGTCTGGGGGCAGATGCGCCCCCCGAGCTGAGGACAACTCCGGGCGCGAAACTAAGTCGTCGAATTGAGCGGTTGTCAGTGTGCAGCACAACCTTGCTGGAGCAGCGTCCTTCTCAATTTCACCCATGATCCTGTATTATGCGCTGATTATTGAATGTGATATATTATTATTGATTATAGCATTCTATGTTGTCAATACATTTCTGAAAACATTAAGCTTGCATGTGATGGCCACAGTATCAACATGTAGTAGAGTGTATCCTATATTCGATGTTATGCGGTGTTCTGCATATCATACATCATGTATTTGTCGGTATAGTACGTAGTATATACTATACAAGATACATACGTATACATATGTATATGTATATTCTCTCTCTCTCTATATATATATATACGTATGTATTTATGTATAGAGAGACCTTTCGCCTCCATTTGGACACCTGCATCTTCATTCTTTGCATTATGTTTCTTCACACACACTTTCTTTTGTGAGCGAAAAGGCCGTCTGTCAATTAAAACCATCGCCCCCCCCCCCCCCCCCCACACACACACACACACACACATGTTAATTACAACATGTTCATTCGCAAGCCGGGGTTTTCACCTTTGTGAAGCAACAAGTTCCTTTTGAAGTAGAATCGAAGGATTGAAAATAAGAAGTGGGTGGCCGATCCCCCTTTCCCCGCATCTTAAGAATCAAAACGAAAGAGGGTTTAGGGTTTAGGGTTTAGGGAACATAATAAAATCAACAGACAGTCTAAATCGTGAGCGCAGGTATCCACACGCATCTTTGTGAATTACAACGTTTCCCCTGTAAAGTAAGCCGTCTAGTTTACAGTAAGAGGTGGGGGTTCTCATTCACAAGGGGGGTTAATTCACAAAGACTTGTGAACTAGCGTGCCCCATGCGAATTTTTCCATTCAGTTTGAATATTGAAATTTACAAAGCCTCTTTGTGAATAGAGTGCCCCCTTGTGAATTAGAATCGGGCTGGGCGGCCGATCCCACCCCATGTTCGTAATCAAAATACGTATTATTCTGCCGGTGTAGACCCCAACCAGTGCGAGAGAACTGCGGACAAGAAGAGCATGCCAGGCTCCCCAGACATGAGGAACACGATGACATTACCGAGGCTTTGCAGCTCATTCCATATTGTTGGTCAGTAGGGAATGCGGGAATGAGGTACCGGTTTAGGGTTTAGGGTTTAGGGTTTAGGGTTTGGGGTTTAGGGTTTGGGGTTTGGGGTTTAGGGTTTAGGGTTTAGGGTTTAGGGTTTAGGGCTCCTCCACGTACTACAAAAGTCGACTTTCGAGCCAATGGACTTCCGGACGTCCTCGGCGTACTACGTTTGCTATAAAAGTCGACTGTCGAGCCACCAGAGCTCCGGATGTCTTCCAACAACACCAACAGCGGCGACAGTTTCCCATTTGGCGAACCCCGAGGTTCACAAACGACGACAGTTTCACATCTGGCGAACCAGATGTTCAAAAGCGACATGCCCATTTCACATTTGGCGAACCCAGACGTTCAAAAGCGACGGCAGTTTCGCATTTCGCGAACGCAGACGTCAAAAAGCGACGACAGTTGCAAAGACGGCGACGTCGATGCGTGTGGCGCCTAGGCGGGAGCGCGATTTCCAACATCGCGAATGGCAAATCACCTTAGTCTGGCCGCACGCATCGGCCCATCCAACGGCACAAAATGCAGGATCCACGTGCCTGCCACGTTTTCAGGACGCGGAGCGGCGATGCGGAAAGCACGATTTCCAAAATACGCATGGGGCCGAGGCGAGAGCATGCTTCGGCGCCATCCACGCCCGAGAAATCCGTGCTCATGTCCGCGCTGAGGAAGAAGTACGATTGCGTCCAAAATGTGACCGCCGCTCGAGGAGCGACCTCTGCGTATCGGGGGCGCCGCGCACGCAGATCAATCTATCACCCTTTTTTTGCCCTGAACGTAAGGACCCCTAGTGTTGGCACACTGTTTGGGGAATTTTAGTGTCTCAATTATTTTTACCATTGTAATTATCACGAAAGACAGTGTAGCGGCTTGTTTTTAGTCTGTGCTTTTATTAGCAGGGAACCGGGATCGAACGCTCAGAGGTTTAACTTAGTTGAGTACTTTGTCAGGGAGGGCGTGGATCGGCCCCGCCCAAAGGCTCGGACTTTATAACGCTCAGAGGGGCATACAAGCTCACAAAAAGTGAGTTTTAATATGTACATTCCAAGCAACATGAGGTACAGGAATTTCATGATCCGGCCGGCAAAATCTGGTCAAATCGGGCGGGTGCCCTTCGGAAGTGACTATCAAAAAGAGGGACAGTGATGTCAATAATCGGCTCCATTCAGGCAGGGTTTGTCCATCGTGTTTGTTTAAGAACACATAGCAGACAAAATCTGCCTGCGTCTACGAGCCGGCTAAATCGGAAGCAGTGTCCCCATCAGTTTTCTTTCGGAAAGGATATCGCAATGATACATCGCAAAATGTATCCCCATCACTTTTTCTATTGTCAGCAGCAAGGCTGTGTCCAGCCATTGACCAGCTCAGGGCGCGTTTTTTCATCAACTGGCATGTTTTCCTCCTCTTCCTCTTCTTTTCATCTCCTCTTTTCCTGTCCTCTTTTCCTATCCTCTTGTCCCCAACCCCGCCACCCCCCGCCCCCCATGAAACGGACCCATGTCGAGTTACATTCAACAATTTCCACCATTGCAAAGGTTGACATGCTTGACATGCCACTTCCCCCGCCCCGGAATCTCCAACCATTTCATCCACGCTGGGAGAGGAAGGAAAGAGCTCCTACATATGTAAATAGTTTGTGTATTTTATTTTTGTCTGTTCAGTCTATTGTATTTGCTGTACGACGATACATGTATCCAGAAAGTTTTCTGGCAAATCTTTGGTGGATATACTACAACGAAAATGAATACTCTGCTGCAGACCATCTTCCATTCATCATACTTTGCTGTGCTATCGTGTGTTGTATTTCTGTGCAACGCGGGCACTGTCTATGCTTTGCCAAGCATACCCCAAGGCGCCAACGGCAGCAATGCGTGTGGGAAGGTGACGACTGCCCGTGCACAAGCAAACAGTGTGTCAAGGTCGTGCCTCGGCCCAATTCAAAACAGAAACTCAGAAAGTACGGGTGCTACAGCGGGCTGTAGTATAACAGCGCACGTTTAGATGGCGTATCGCAGGACACATCTTCTAATTCGGCAGAGCATAGTTCGCCATCGTATTTTGGCATGTGGTAAGATTTCGAGGTGATACGTAGTGTAACAGACCTACAAGCGCCAAGCAGATGCAAAAGAGCACTTGTTAGGGCGAGTGCAAAGTGTCCCAGCAAAGCAGCTTCATGAGACGCGTCGTGCTAAGGACTACAACTCCAGTGGGAGCATTCGAAACGTTACGAAAGATTGCGTCGCGAATGGCGATCAATCCCCTTGTGGAGACAATGCCATCACTTGTCCTACTCCTGGGCAGGACATGTTGCTTGCATGAGCCCACAGTATGGCGGGGGAGATGTAGTGAGTGCCATTCTCAACTCAAGGTTGTCAGTGCGAGTGGCCTGACTTTTTTTTCAGGATGTGAGGCAGGTCCTTGAGTCGTTGGGTGGGTGCGGGCAACGTCTGAGACTCTGACACCTTCTAACGCGCCCCAGTCTTTGAGCTGAAGCCCTCACGCTCCCAACCTCTCAGATGGCACCGGTGTGCAGACCTTAAGGTGATTGCAGGCCTGGGCCACGGAAGTGGCCCCTAAAATGTCTTTCCGTGTATCTAACGACCGGATGTGTAAAACTGTTCGGCCGAGCAAGGCCCCTACCCTAAACTCAAGCATCCAAAGCCCGCATTCCTGCCGCTGTGGGATGCCAGTTTGCCTCAACTTGCCTTGAGCCCAAGCCCCTCAACGCGTTGCAGGACGACACATGCTTGCCGCCCAGCGACGAGCTTAGGTGGATGGTGTTTGTGCAAAGCTTTGACTTAAGCTTGAATCTCGAACCCCGACCAAAAACCCGAAGTCTCTCTACATCGCAAGCTGGACCCAAAGCCCTCTACCCGTAGCCCATAAACACCAAACGCCCACTCGCAAGACCGAATTCCGAACTGTCTAGACTCGTCTAGACCCTGCAGTCTGAACCGTAAACTGTAATTGCAAGCTTCGCGGTCCATGGGTTGCTGTGAGTAGAACCCTGAACCCCAAACCCTAAAACCCTAAACCCTAAACCCTGGACCCCCCCTAAACCCTAAACCCCTAACCCCTAACCCCGAAACCCTCAACCCTAAACCTAAACCCTATATAAACCCTAAACCCTAAACCCATCCATGGCGAGAGCCCTGATGACCCTCAAGCAGGGTTTGGGAATTGCAGTGTTCAAGGCGCCGGCCGATGTCCGTTGAATTGCCCAGAAGGCGAAGAGATTTGCTACCGCGTTGGTGACTTGGACAGCCAAGACCCCTCCTTGCCCATGTATATGTCCCATTACGCCGCTACAATCACGTCTGGAAGAGTCACGCGCGATGGCACGCATCTTTACGCCCGTCAAGGACCTCCATGCAGATCGTAGTGAAATGGTTGCATGTATATAATATAGCTACACACATGTATGATTCTAGCTCTTTTTACAGTTGGGCGAAGAAGTACTTCAACACAGGTGGGTTGCATGTCTCTTCCAGGCCTCGTTTGCATGCTCTGCCTGATGTCAGGTTTCAACAATATGGGCCACCCGTTGCTCCCGCCGCAAGAGGTTTGCGAGCCTTGCCTGCCAGTCGAGATAGGTGAGCCGTTGTAGAATCGCGAGCCCTGGAAGAATCGAGAGCATAGTAGAAAGCAGTGGCTCCAGTTTAGTTCCCTCGACGATCGGGTAGTTTCTACGTGCCGGTGACGTGTTTGCATGGACTGTCAAAGAGGGGTGGCAGCAATTTGAATTTTTCGTGTCGCGGTTATAGGGCTGTACCTCCCAGAAAAACTCTGTGTAAACCCAGGTGCCTCAGGGCAGCAAGTGCGGCTGTGGACAAAATTCCTTTGAGTGCAATGCGGCCAAGCGGCACCGTATGGGTTCAAGATCCCTGGCTCTTTGTATTTTCATGGAGGAAGAGTTCCAGCATTTAGCTTAGGGAATTCGGCTTCATTCTTCTCAATCGTCATGTGGTGCATTCCAACCTAGTCTCAACTGGAGCAGTGCAGTGCGCCCACACTTCGCCACTGGGAGGCAGGAGAATGTCTCCCGCTTGTCGGAGGTGCGAGCTGCCTTATCGTGTAAGCGTGTGCAACCCTAAGGGTCCATGTACCCATACGGTATATATTCAGGCCCTAAAGCTACTGTATGGGAACCCCTGTACGGCCCAAGTATATACTATATAGGTACGTGGACCCTTAGGCATGGAGTGCGGGATGATTAGAGGAGGCAGCTGTGCTGTGACTCAGCACCTCAGTTTATCGGAAGGGGTCATGTACGACTAGAGCTCCGCGAAGACCGTCCAACTCACAATGAACCCCATGTGGTGGTTTACGATCTTAGGGGTACCTTATTGGGGTCCCGATTACAAGAGGATCCTACTATTTGGGGGCATGTACTAGGGTCCCAAATTTTCGTAAACTCCCACGTGGTAAAGATGTAGTTTGCAGGCGCGGAATTGACCGTTTAGGGTATAGGGCTTGGGGTACACGGAATTGGAAGACCTTCACATGGCAGGGTACTGCCCCAACTGCCCGGCTGGCGAAGTCCAATGTCCGGACGTAGTAAACTTCCGCCCGGACGGCACAGAAGAAAGCAGCTTGGCTTAGCCCAGTGCCTCAACCCCAGGAGTTGTTTGAGCACTTAGAGGTTCATGGGAGGTTGGATGATGAGCAACTTTATACCCCCGCTACATCCTCGCGTGTTGTTTTGGCCCAAAGCCTCCAGCCTGAAGCAAAGACGAAGGCCTGAGAGTTTCAGGAGGTTGGAGCTGGTTTTGGGTTTAGGGTTTCGGGTTTCGGGGGTTTAGGGGGCTCTTCTAAACTGGGTTTTGTCTGTACCATATTGCGCTGGTTTCTAGTGCCCCGGAAAAGCGTTTGCTTCCCAGTTCAGCAGCTCCGGTCCCTAGGTACAATATGACAGTATTTCTATTCTATGACCATCGTATTACTCTGATAGTACTTCGTATTGCTTTTGTCGTAGTGCAACGGCGGTTGAAGTAGAGTGTAGATGTGTTGCTCTTCTGTATGAGGCCATTCGCCCTGCACCTTGCTTGTGCTTCCGTGCTACAGTCAATGCATTTTTCCCGTTCTTGCAGATGCATACTACATCGCGGTCCTGTTGGTCCTTAGGGTTTAGGGTTTGGGGTTTAGGGCTTGGGTTTAGGGTTTAGGTTTAGGGCTTAGGGTTGCTTCTGTTGTGAGGCTCTGTGCCTCCCACGCCTTCATGTGCCAGCAGCGCAGAGCTCTGCCCGTGTGGGCAAAGCGCGAAGTGGTGCAAGTCCCGAGAGCGCTGCGTTTTCCAGGCATGTCATGGTTTCAGGAATCAAAAGAGGCTTTAGGGTTTAGCTCAACAATCTCCAGAGACGATCAAAACCGAGCGTCGCCTTTGGGATGTTTGTCAAAATGTATGCCAGATTCATGTATAACTGCCCCGAAACATGGGCGTCCGCGAAGTTTTTGGTGGATTCTGAGGTCTACGTGGTTGACAGCCAAAAATAGGTCCACATTGGAGTTTCGTATCTTGTGAGGTGTATTCTCTCTCGAGTGATGGGTACTTCTTTGCGTGAGCGTCCACATTGGGGTGATGTGTGTTTCCATGGCCTGATGTGTTGTAGTGCTAACTTGAGTGGTAACTCGAGTGTGAACTTCTTCTTCCTCTTCTTCTTGAGTGCTGCTCAAAAGAATTTTGCGTGCCCGTTTCGCCTCAGTCCATCGGCCAGATGATTCGGAAGTGACTTCGGATCCGAAGTCACCCCACCCCGTTGTGCACATCTTGAACTTTGCAGGGCGAAGCTTGCTGCGAAGACCATGAGAAGCTTTGCACGCTGACGGACTACACCGAAGATGGAAACGTCACAGGTGGGTGTGCCCTGCTACTGCTTGTTCATGTCACAAGTCCTAAACCCTAAGCCCTAAACCCTAAACCCTAAGCCCTAAACCCTAAACCCTAAACCCCAAGCCCTAGACCTGATTGTGCCAGTCAACATCTGTCTCCAACTTGGCTTGGAAAAGCTTCAGCTCCGAGACCGCAAGGCTCGCAAAGCATCTGCTGGCCACGGGGCGAAGAGTACAAGTGCCCATGTGGAGGACATGCAGTATGGTGCCCGAGTGCTAATCAGTGCGTGCCCGAGCTACCTGGCTCAGACTGATGTGGGTGTGCAGTGGTTGAGCTAGGGGTCCTGCATGTCGTCGAGATGAACTTCTTTAAGGCAGTTTCCGGTTGGGTGAGGGTGGCTTTCCAACACGGAAGCCGGCCGTTTCCCATGCAGGCTCGCAACGCTGCTCACAGGCATATATATGTATATGTATGTATGTATGTATGTATGTATGTATGTATGTATGTATGTATGTATGTATGTATGTATGTATGTATATATATATATATCGTTTTTTCGAAATATAGCTTCTAGGAATATGTTTTTGTTAGAGCGCCTTGGTATGAGAGTATATACTCTTTGTTCAGCCCTGGGTCACCTCAAAAACCATCGTTTTCAACGCTTGACAAAAAACATGCGGCTATTTGGAATCGAGACCGTTTAGAACATTGCGGGCTTGCATTTTGGAATACTGCAAAAGTCGTACCTCTCTTGATGCTTTCCGAAGCGATTGGTATTGGCGATGTTTACACTCACAAGCAGTTTGGCGATATGGGCCGAGCAGGTAATTATCACAAGGACGGTGCTGCAAAAGTCTCTTTGTGTTGTCATTTCAGGATGTGTTAGATGTCGCCAACGAGGTTCAGTTTTCAGATGGAGTCTTACCGCTTATATTGACAAAGCCGAACCTGACGCTCGAAATCAACAGTCCTGAACCCTGAGGCACAGTCCAGCAACACCCACTCGAACGTGTCCAGAGACTTTCAATCTAAGACAGTTGGTGGGATGAGAAAGAGGACGGCAACAACTCCAGAGGGAACCCGACGGACCAGTGCTTCAAAGGGTCCAAAACGCCTCCCAGGTTCGCCAAGAAGCAGACATGCCCGTGCAATGCGTGGTTCCTTGGCGAGATGAGTCCAGCCGCGGATCTCACATGGCAAAAGCCAGTCCTGAAAGCCTAACAGCCCTCAATCCACCAAGCCCTAAACTGCGCCCTACAGCCTGATGCAGGCAAAAGATGTGTTACGTGACGGACTACACTGAGACAGGCCTTGCGACGATTTAAATGTCGTGTTCGGTTGGAGGTTTAGTGAGCGTGCCCGCCGTGCATGGTGGGGTGATCACACCTCCAATCGCCACAACAAGACATGATATTTTCGGCTTTGATGCAAAATGTGCACTACTACACTACACTATATTCCAACCGGCGCAGTGCCTTGAGTACTGTAGCCCCCTTGCGGTCGCCTGAGTGTTTGCTTTACTTGAATTGAAGCGGCTGCCTCCGCTCGGGCAGGCGTTGTCCCCACCCTCTTCCTTCTTGGCTTGTTTTTTTTTGCTTCCTTCTTGGCTTTCTTTCTGTCTGGGCCAGCTGAAGACATTGCCTGCCAGTGCTAAAGGAAGACCTCCCTGTGCTCCCCCACCGCAACTTTGATTTATTTCCTCGCGCCTCGCCGAAAGAACCCCTGATCTTCCATACCGTGTGGGATTTGTTTGGGGAATTCTCAGGATCGAAATAGAATTTGCGAGGAGAGAATGAATAGCATGACTTTGACACGTCTTTATTCAAAACCGTTTTTTGTGGCTTCAAAGGGAGATGGACTTTGGGGCCAAGTGCATGGAGCACCTAACACGTGCCAGCCCGCAAGTTGCCCTGGATAAGTTCCAGGACATGAACTTGAGATTTTTGAAGTTCAGGGGGCCTGCAAGACAAGGCAACTGACATGTTCAAGGCAGCAGTCAGGCACCAGGGCGGAATTTAGGCGTCAGCGCCGAATTTGTCATGGTGCCATTTTCGGTGTCATGCCCGCGGTGGACCGAATTTTAGGCGTCCGGGGCATTTTGGGCGTCAGGCGTGGACCGAATGTAGGCAATGTAAGGGTCAGGAACATCAGTTAGGCATCAGCGAGGCATCAGACCCGAAATTAGGCGCCAGGCGTCAGGGACCGGGTGGAGGTGGGTTTGGGGCGGAGGTCGGGGCAATTGGGTTTGGGGGTCCGGATTTAGGCCAAGCAGGGCCGGACGTCTGCATGCTTTGCTATGCTATATGATGCTATACCGGACTAGTATACTGGCAGCAGGTGACTTTTGCACGCATTCTGGGGTTGTGAATGCAGGCGTGACAAGCGGGACTGCGCCAGCGTGTGTTGACCGTGAGCAAGATTGCCCGTGTGGGCAGAACTCGCTCCTTGCCACTGCAAGCCCAGAACCTGCAACAGTTCTGATAAGGTTCAACCTCCCCCCTCCAACAGAGTAGGGCCTATCATATTCCGGAAGACATGACTGACGAGGACATCATTTTGCCAGTTCCCAGAACCGCCAGCTCCAGATAGAGAATACCAACTTACCAGAACAGTGGGCCACCTTGCTTAAACTCCGCTCGACATTGACTGACAATAGCCTCTCCTCCGCCGCCTTAACCCTTGCTGGCTGCGTACAGGCCTGTGTATACTTTGCGTAGCAGAACTCCTGTTGATCATCGCTACGCCCCAGTTCTTACACTCTTCACGCGCGCGTGGGATATCGGCAGTTATTTCCTGAATCATACATCCTCACCCGTCAAGTTGCTGCAGCTTACCCGAAGCTTGATTTGGGCCTTCCTGATGCAAAGCAAAAAGTTTCTACACGCGGTTTACTTGGGGGCCATCTCGTTGAGTCATGAGCATGGGCGATGGGCTTTGAGATGCATGCTCTGCAGGACTCGAACATGGACAGGGACCCTGAGCTAGGGTTTAGGGTTTAGGGTTTAGGGTTCAGGGTTTAGGGTTTAGGGTTCAGGGTTCAGGGTTTAGGGTTTAAACCTAAAGCTCCGAAAGGAATTCTCTCAACCAGGCCAGCTTCGGAGCCCTTGATCAAACGATGTAGCTTAGGCTTGGAATCTCCAAGACATCCGCAAACCTTCAATCTCAAACCCTAACGCCCCAAACCCTAAACCCTAAACTCCAAACCCTCAACCCTCAACCCTCAACCCTCAGGTCTAAACCCTAAACTCTAAACCCTAAACCCTAAACGTTGCCTCTCGGCAGTTCCTCTAGCATCCTTGAGCGAAGCCCTGGACTCTGAAGCCCAATCCCAACCCCCGAACCCCGAAAAGAAACTTCAACCCTAAACCCCTAAAACCCTAAACCCTAAACCTTAGACCCTAGACCTTAGACCCTAAACCCTAAACCCTAAACCCTGAACCCTGAACCCTGAACCCTAAACCCTAAACCCTAAACCCTGAACCCTGAACCCTAAACTGCCCTAAACCCTTGCCTAAACCATAAAATCACACACCTCAGATGAGGCTGACCTGTCCAGATCCACGGGACCGCGCGGAATGCAGGGTTGAGCATACGGTTTAGGGTTTGGGGAGCAGGGTTTATAGAGCTTGAGGCAATGGTCGCGTGTTTGATGCATTTTTTCATTCGCCCTCTTGACGCCTGGTTTGGGGCTCAGTCCTAAATCCTAAATCCTAAACCCTAAACCCTACTCCCTAAACCCTAAACCCTAAAGAGCACGCGTTTTTTAGCCGTGTTAACACCTCGTGAGACCTTTAAGTTGCAGCAAGACGAAACGTCTTGACGGCGATACTACGACACGGTTCATTTGAGACATTATCTCATCCATCATCGAAGTAAGGTCAGACACGTGCGTGCGTGCGTGGGTGGGTGTGGGTGTGGGTGTGGGTGTGGGTGTGGGTGTGGGTGTACGGGTGTACGGGTGTACGGGTGTACGGGTGTATACGGGTGTATACGGGTGTATACGGGTGTATACGGGTGTATACGGGTGTATACGGGTGTATACGGGTGTATACGGGTGTATACGGGTGTATATATACGGGTGTATACGGGTGTATACGGGTGTATACGGGTGTATACGGGTGTATACGGGTGTATACGGGTGTACGGGTGTACGGGTGTATACGGGTGTATACGGGTGTACGGGTGTATACGGGTGTACGGGTGTACGGGTGTACGGGTGTACGGGTGTATACGGGTGTGTACGGGTGTACGGGTGTTTACGGGTTTACGGGTTTACGGGTTTACGGGTTTACGGGTTTACGGGTTTACGGGTTACGGGTTTACGGGTGTACGGGTGTACGGGTGTACGGGTGTACGGGTGTACGGGTGTACGGGTGTACGGGTGTACGGGTGTACGGGTGTACGGGTGTACGGGTGTACGGGTGTACGGGTGTACGGGTGTACGGGTGTACGGGTGTGTGGGTGTGGGTGTGGGTGTGGGTGTGGGTGGGTGGGTGTGTGGGTGTGTGGGTGTTTGTGTGTGTGTGTGTGTGCAGTACAGACAAATACAGACAATATAGAGAAAAGAGCTCGACGACGGAGCATATAGTAAGTCTTGGATCTTAAATCTCCAAACTTGCAAACTGCTCCATGTAAACCCCGAACCTCAATGCATACATTCCTTAGGGTTTAGGGTTTAGGAGTTTAGGAGTTTAGGAGTTTAGGGTTTAGGGTTTAGGGGTTTAGGGGGTTCAGGGGTTTAGGGTAGGTTAGGTTTCGTCGTGCCAACCCACGCTTTGCATGTGGAATTTTGGGAAGGATCCAACACGGATGGAGTGCCCTCCAAGAGTCCAAAGACACTTTGCTGATGTGGTTTAGGGTTTAGGGTTTAGGGTTTAGGGTTTAGGGTTTAGGGTTTAGGGTTTAGGGTTTAGGGTGTAGGGTTTAAGGTGTGTTACGTTCTGGGTTGCTCGCTGGGCTCCGGGGCCTCACCTCACTTTTTCTAACCGGCCCCTCTGCCCGGGTCGCTCGCAACATCGCGTGGCGGTAAGCCCACCCCAAGCCACCCTGCATATTTATTTTAGGGTTCAGTTCCTAAAGTCCGGTTTTGTTTGCCTCGCGGGGGCAAGGCTGCACAGAGATGGAGTTTTGGCAGCGCTCCCGTCACCAAGGGTAGCCCTTCATCATCAAAATCGGGGCGTGCTTGTTTGTCCAGCTGCCCCAGGGGTACCCCTGCCCCTCGACTGGGCCAGCGTCCCGACAGCTCACAAAAATGGTGTGGGAGAAGCCCAACAAGGGGTTGGAGTTTTGGCCGTCTCCGAGTACTGTTTTGCCTTGAAAATTGAAAAACTCGACCCCCCCCCCTTGACCAAAACTATCAGAATTGAGGCTCGAATTTCCTGAAAAGCTTCCAGGCAGGCTTCTAGGGGCTGTCAAGGCTTCTGGAGGCTTCGACGATCCTTGGAGGGCCGGGGTGCGTTGGCAATTGTCCTGGGGGGTTGCACCGGCAATGGTGGGGTGCACCGGCAATGGTGGGCGCCCTGCTGCACCGGCAATTGTTTTGGTTTAGGGTCTTCTCCTTTGACACTCATTACCTTGCCTTAGAGCGTCCAGCAACCCCAGCTTTACTTGGGCTGCACGTTCAGTGCTCTCAGGTCGCTCGCGAAGCTCGGACAGCTTCGGGCTCTCAAGTGTTGGTCGCGAGCCCTCAGCACGACGTCAGGGTTTAGGGCCCAATCATAAGTGTAGTTATAACCCACCTATAAGCCCCTTAAGTGCCCTAGTATGGTTCTAGGTACAGTTATAAGTACAGTTATCATGGGTTAATAAGTACCATGAGCCTCCAAGTGGGGGGTTCGCGGGCCTAGGGGTGCAAAAGTCCAACAAGGAAGGGGGCATCTGGTTGTTTTTGGGATAGAGAAACTTTCTTGGCTTGCGTCTCCCAGACTCGGTTCTTGCAATTGTTAGGAACAAAACGCTGAATTTCATGTAACCCTCAACCCTAAACCCTAGGCCCTAAACCCTAAACCCTAAACCCTAAGCCCTAAGCCCTAAGCCCTAAATCCTAAACCCTACACCTACACCCTAACCCCTAAACCATGTTTGCGTGCTGCCTCGGCTGGTTGCCAAGGCGGGATCGCAACTTCATGTCCGATGCCATGCTCAAGGGAGCAAGAGCGTCAAGGAAACCTAACTTGCACTAAGATTCCTGGATGCATACACCCCCGGGCCGAAAGTTTCGACCCACGGCACATGTTGGATGGCACACAGACAGTGAAGGCTCCCGCGGAGTAGCGGAGTGCCGAAAAGTCGCATTTTCCCTGCGCCTGCTAGCGGAGAAATTAATACCCCGTTTTGAAAATATAGTACTATAGAAGCTCCGGAGGAGGCCCCCAGCCCCATTGTGTCAGGAGTCTATGGGGAAGAGGGCGGGGTAAGGGCGTCAGAACCCCAAGATGTTGGTGGGTCGAACTATCGGCCCGGCGCAGCATGCGTTTTGGCGGCGAGAGTCCGTGGCATGCACAGTGCGGGTGAAACGCCTGCTAGGATCTGGCCATGCCGCCCTTCTTGGACACGACCTCCTTGCAGGTCTTTTTGAAGCCCGCGGCTATGTGCGAGGCCACCCTTTGGGCACGCTGTGAAGCCAAAACCGCGCGGACGCGCGCCTTGAAGGCCAGCATGCCGATGGGCGGGCGCTTGCGGCGGAGGTCTTCCCGATCCAGGTGGCGGAGGCGCCTTCGCAGCCACGCCCAGAACTTCTCCACAGGGTTCAGGTCCGGCGATGATGCCGGGACCGGCCAGAGCGTGATGTTTTCGGCCGCCATGGCATGCCTGCTGGCGGCCGTGTGCAGGAAGGCCTCATTGTCGCACAAGACCTTCCAGGGGCCGTGTCGCCGCACTGGCTGCAGCGCTGTTATGGCGGCCTGGAGCTTCCCGGTCTGGACCACGCGGCACCACTCCTCTGCAGTGAACTTGCGTGCTTTGTGGAAGGCGACTGTGCGGAAGCCCCCTTCTGACAGCCCACCCCAGAGTGGCACGGCTCGAGCACGTGGCACCTGTGACGGGTACGGGTTCTGTCCAGCCAGCCGCTCCATTCCAGCCTCCCCGCGCTGCCGCCACATGTAGCCATCCCCGTGGGCGCAATAATTGCGGCGGTCCGTGGGATCCCGTGGCGGTAGCGACAGCAGGACCCCATCCATGGAGAAGGACAGCTTCTCTCGCAGGCGGGCCCGACTGAGCTGCACCACGCTCCTGGCAAAGCGGAGGCGCTCCTGCCGGCGTTCTGCACTGTACTTGCGCTTCTGCGCTTTTGGTAGCCAGAAGTATCCCTGGCGACGCAGTGCCTTGCGGATGGCCGACTCATCCAGCTGCACACCCCGCTTCGCGAGCAGTTCTCGCTGCAAGGTGCCAGAGGTGCAGACACAGTGCATGCGCAGGGCGAGCAAGCGCTGCACCAGGAACTTCTGCACGGCCTTGGTAGCTTTGACGGGTCGGCGACCGCAGTTCTGGTACTTGTACGGTCGCCGCCCCTTTGCCTGGCTGAAGCCCTTGTAGACTCGCTTCAGGAGCGACAGACTGGGCCGCTCCCCGCGCAAGTTCCGCACCCGGGAACGGATGTCCTCCCACGCGCAGCCATGCACCTCCCGCAGCACCACAACCTGGCGCTCAGTCGCGAAGTTGAGCGACTGTGGGTGCCTCACCTCCTGCACAAGGGGCATGGTGCCGAGACAGCTGCGAGGGCACGCATGTGGGCTGGTCCTGTCAGTACCTTCCGACGCTAGCAATGCATGTCCCTGCATGGTCAAGGCGTGAGGAACCACAGGACGCACCGGCATGCCCACCCAACTGCCTCGCGCAGCCACATGTCCCAAGATGCACAGCGCGAAAGGACCCGAGATGCACACGGCGACCTGAGCGGCTCACGCGTTAGGACCCAAAATGCACACGGCCCAGGCTGCGCGCACGTTTGGACCCAAAACGCACACGGCTTCCAAAACGCACCAAACTGGCGCGACAAGGACCCAACCTGCACACGGTGACCGGAGCGGCTGACGCGTTCGGACCCAAAACGCACACGGCCCAGGCTGCGGCGCACGTTTGGACCCAAAACGCACACGGCTTCGGACCGAAAATGCACACGGCCAGGGATGGCGCGATAGGACCCACAATGCACACGGCCATGGAGATGCTAGCACCCATGCCGCGAGCGCAGACGCAGGAGCATGCGCCTGCGCGTGTCGCATGATGTCGCCTGCGACTCTGGCACTCGAGCCGCCTCTTTTTGCGCCACCGTGCTGGCTGGCTCCTGGGATGCAGTGGCTGTGAAACATGTCTCGAGGCTGGACCCTCAGACCTGTGCCAAGATGTCAGGGAAGTGGACGAGGACGCGGTTGCGCTCGGAGCCGAGCCAGTCATGCGCGCGCAGGAAGTCGAGGTTCCGTGTGCTGTTGTTGATGGTGACTGCCACAGGCACTGCAAAGAGGTACTTCCGGTACGCGCACGTGCCGCCAGGAGTCGTGGCAAATTCGACACGCGTGTCGTACTTGCCCTGAAGTTTGTCCTGGTGCTCCGCAATGAACTTCAGGTCCCTCACATCGTCCAGGATGATGCCATCATGGGTGTCCCTGTCAAAGGCGCGCATCCCCTCTGGGAAGATGTCGAGACTCCCCACTTTGAGCTCCAGCGCGCGCTTGAACAAGGACTTCACCCACTCTGTTTTCCCTGTCTGGGAGGGCCCGTGGACGATGAGCAGTGGATAGCGTAGTCGATCTTCACGAAAGGTCGCCAACCATGCTTCTGCCGCGGGCACTGCCGGGAAAGCCCGGTACACCTCTGGGTTCGCTCGAAGCCTCTTCGTGGTGGCCTCGATGAGGGCGGCGTCAGCCAGGGCGGCCTCATGCTCGCGAACTGCATCCAGGTTGCGCTTCCGTGCCAGAACCCCGTCCCGCGTCAGGAAAAGGTACTGCTCGTACTTGGCCGATGTCAGCTTCCGCTGTTTCCACAGTGCTTCTGGCCATTTTCCCAGGACCTGGTAGGTTCGCCGAGCCTCAGTCCAGCATGGCTCGTAGTTGGCCGCGACGCAAGTCTCGCCGGAAGGCAAGCGCAGCGTCCCCACCTTGTCAGCCCACACGTAGAACATGCCGCGGTTGATGGACTGCTGCAGCTTCTTGCGGCAGACGCCCTCGCCGAGGTAGTCGTTGGGGCTGGCGTTGGGTCGCACACCCTCAAAGATGAAGCGGGCGGAGCCGCAGTCCACTGCAGAAGTGAATTGGACCATGAGGTGCAGGTGGCAGTCGCCGCCAGAGGTCTGCTCCATCGTCGCCGCCCAGTGCTTGACAGTCCACGCCGTCACCGAGGCGGCCACAAAGACGCAGAACCGCTGCCATGCACCAGGCGCCTCCCCGGCCGGCCAGCTTTGATATGTCAGGAGCACCGCCTCGGAGCGAATGCGCAAGCCTTCGCGCCCGTTAGTGACGGCACTGCTTGCGGACACTGGCCCTGCCTGCGCATGGGCAGGTCGGCCTGGCGGCTTTGTGCCCTGGCTCGCCTGGACCCACGCATCCCTTGCAGCATTCAGGCGCTGCGCGTCTGCGGCTGCGCCGCCCTTGTCGGGATGCACCTTGATGGACACTCGCCGGAAGACCCGCGTCACCTCGACATCTGTCGACTCCCGCGTGAGGGTCACCTGCAGCCCGTAGGCACCGGCCAGAGCCAGCAACAAGGTCACCAGCGCACGCTTAGCGCGTTGCTTCAGGTTGGCAGGCATGGCGCAAGTGGCTAGAGGAGGCCGTCGGCTTCGAAAAATGCTTCCGGAAGGCACCCCCGGGCCGAAAGTTTCGACCCACGGCACATGTTGGATGGCACGCAACAGTGAAGGCTCCCGCGGAGTAGCGGAGTGCCGAAAAGTCGCATTTTCCCTGCGCCTGCTAGCGGAGAAATTAATACCCCGTTTTAAAAATATAGTACTATAGAAGCTCCGGAGGAGGCCCCCAGCCCCATTGTGTCAGGAGTCTATGGGGAAGAGGGCGGGGTAAGGGCGTCAGAACCCCAAGATGTCGGTGGGTCGAACTATCGGCCCGGCGCAGCATGCGTTTTGGCGGCGAGAGTCCGTGGCATGCACAGTGCGGGTGAAACGCCTGCTAGGATCTGGCCATGCCGCCCTTCTTGACACGACCTCCTTGCAGGTCTTTTTGAAGCCCGCGGCTATGTGCGAGGCCACCCTTTGGGCACGCTGTGAAGCCAAAACCGCGCGGACGCGCGCCTTGAAGGCCAGCATGCCGATGGGCGGGCGCTTGCGGCGGAGGTCTTCCCGATCCAGGTGGCGGAGGCGCCTTCGCAGCCACGCCCAGAACTTCTCCACAGGGTTCAGGTCCGGCGATGATGCCGGGACCGGCCAGAGCGTGATGTTTTCGGCCGCCATGGCATGCCTGCTGGCGGCCGTGTGCAGGAAGGCCTCATTGTCGCACAAGACCTTCCAGGGGCCGTGTCGCCGCACTGGCTGCAGCGCTGTTATGGCGGCCTGGAGCTTCCCGGTCTGGACCACGCGGCACCACTCCTCTGCAGTGAACTTGCGTGCTTTGTGGAAGGCGACTGTGCGGAAGCCCCCTTCTGACAGCCCACCCCAGAGTGGCACGGCTCGAGCACGTGGCACCTGTGACGGGTACGGGTTCTGTCCAGCCAGCCGCTCCATTCCAGCCTCCCCGCGCTGCCGCCACATGTAGCCATCCCCGTGGGCGCAATAATTGCGGCGGTCCGTGGGATCCCGTGGCGGTAGCGACAGCAGGACCCCATCCATGGAGAAGGAAAGCTTCTCTCGCAGGCGGGCCCGACTGAGCTGCACCACGCTCCGTGCAAAGCGGAGGCGCTCCTGCCGGCGTTCTGCACTGTACTTGCGCTTCTGCGCTTTTGGTAGCCAGAAGTATCCCTGGCGACGCAGTGCCTTGCGGATGGCCGACTCATCCAGCTGCACACCCCGCTTCGCGAGCAGTTCTCGCTGCAAGGTGCCAGAGGTGCAGACACAGTGCATGCGCAGGGCGAGCAAGCGCTGCACCAGGAACTTCTGCACGGCCTTGGTAGCTTTGACGGGTCGGCGACCGCAGTTCTGGTACTTGTACGGTCGCCGCCCCTTTGCCTGGCTGAAGCCCTTGTAGACTCGCTTCAGGAGCGACAGACTGGGCCGCTCCCCGCGCAAGTTCCGCACCCG